CCCCCCGATGTTGTTTAACGAATTTTATTAGAAATATTTTGTAATTCGAATTGTATTATATATAAATATATTGAAAATTCTCAGCACAATTAACCAAATGATTTCGTGAACAAAAACATAAATTAACATGAAATAAGTCAATCCATCACTGAACGTTGGGCGTGAATGCTTTCGTACTACGAGTATAAAAAATCCTTAAATGAACGTGATAACAACGTATTTTTTATTTGCTGAAAAAAACATTTTATTTTTTACCCATACGTATTTTAAAAAAACAAAACGTCATCGTAAAAAGACACCCGTTACTAAAATATTTGAATAATAAAAATAATTCTTTTTATAAATATTTAACCTTTTTCCCAGTTTCAAGTTGTGGCACGGATGATCTCTTTAGTCTGGCAGCCAGTTTTTCGTCTGAAACGAATACCAAATGTCATTCGTAAAAGCGTTAATAATAAAAAAAGAAAAACAAAATTTCTCTGTGTGTGTTTGTGTGTGTTTTGTTAATATTTATTCTGTGTCGGTTAAATAATAATAATAATAATAATAATATCAAATTCGGGTACCTACTGATAAATAATTTTCAATATTAATTATGTGATTTTGTTATTGTGCATTTCTTATATACATAATAATAATGGTGATGATGATGAATATAATCTTCAAATTGTTATGAAGGTAGTAGTAATAATAATAATATTGATATTCAACGATAAATTGATTGGATAATTTTTTATTATCATTATTACCCGAATGGATTTTTTGTTGGTTTCATAAATAAATTTTTTATTTTTTTTGCAAGTGAAAGTTAAGAAAAAAAAATGAAATATTTGTGGTACGGAAAAATAATTCACGTTGTGTAATATATTTGAGGGTAAATAAATATAAAAATTTACCTCCTGACACATATTTTTTTAAACGTTATCAGTTTAATTTTAACTTATCAAATAAATTGGGAGGGGGGGAGGGAAAAATAACTTTATTTAAGTAAATTATTAAATTTATTACTACACTAACTACTATTGTAAAATAATTGAACGAAATTTTTTTTAAAATTTGTTTTACCGTATCAGTCAGTATCACAATCGTTAAATTTTTTTTTTATACTTTACTCATATTTTACCAAAAGAATACTAATCATTATTATTATTATTATTATTATTATTATTATTATTATTATTATTATTATTATTATTATTATTATTTAAACTGACATTTACATGTATGTATTAGGGGTAATTGTTTTAAATTCGGGGTAATAATTGATTTTGTTTAATTGCTTTTAATGCGGTTGTGTTTAATTGTGACGTCATTTTACTTTGTTATTATAAAAAATTATCCGTAAATTTATCAATAGATCAATCAGTCAATCAATCAGTCAATCAATCAATCTCAAATCATTTTAAATTACTTTGTTTTAAAAAAAAACAAAAATGCAATTTACACTTCGTGATTAATTTTTCAAATGTTGTTAACAACACCTTCGGAAAATTTTTTTTTTCTTCCCTACAAATTTCTTGTGACGTATAAGGTTTTTACACGGACATATCATATTTATTAAATTTTCAATTTTCCAATAATTTTTTGTTAAGGGGACAAGGGGAAAGGGGGGAGGAAAACAAAACAAAAAAACGATTTTTTTTAAGTCAAAAAATTCATCACTTTCTCATTCTTTCTCTTTAAAACTTTTAAGTGGTTGCAAAAGTTTGTAATTTATTATTATTATTATTATTATTATTATTATTACTAGTGCTACTACTTGGGCCGATGTATTTAAATAATAATTGTTTATCGATAATTCATTAATAACAATATGTATTCATATCTCGTATGAGGTATTGTGAAACAAAAAATTTTCAACTTGGTAATGTTTGCCTTCTTTTTTAAAAGAACTTTTATTATTCCAACTTGTTACTCATTTCCCTTTATAAGTAATATTATTATTATTATTATTATTATTATTGTTTTTTCATAACAATCCATCATTGTGTGTGTGCCTAAAAAAGGTAAACATTAAAATTGATTTTGTTTGAGTAATTTTATGGTAAGATTTTGTTTCATAATTTTTTTTTCTATTTTATCAAAATGAAAATTTAAATAATTTAATAATAATATAAGAGGGAGAGAGAGAGAGAATAATTTAAACAAATAATAATAATAATATTTCTAATGACCTTTTTTTTTTTTAAAAAAAAAAAAATAAGCTTAATTAATATATATGATAAATGAAATTTAAAAAAAATGATGCAAAATTGTTTTTTTTTTTTTTTTTAAAGAAAAACATTATTCGGTCACGTTTTTTAATTTAAATGGGGGCCTGTGAATCCCCCCCAAAAGTCCCAAATAAAAAAAATTAGTTTAATGATTGGTTTCCTGTTTGTGTGCGAATTCCGTTGCATGATGCTGTTGGCTAATGTATGACACATTTTTCCTCTCTCTTTGTTTTTTTATACATATATAATAAATCATGTTTTCCTGTGGAAAAATTGTAAAATATTGATTTTATTTTATTCGTAACAGATGAGGTTAAAATATTATAACGTTATCATAAATGCAAATATCAAATTTATTTATTTATTTTTTTATGTAAACTTTTTAAATTTTATCTTTTCAATATGGCTTAAAGGAAAACTCTGTCATCCAAATCATTTCCCGGATTTACTTTTAAGAAAATTTTTCTTTTTTTTTCTCTTTTCATTTCACTGCATATATAATATCTTTTTATAATAACTTGAGAGCCCGAGTTAAAAAGTAATAATAATAATAATAATTTTTTTAATTGTTGGGATAAAATTAACGTTTGAATGATAGTGAAAGTTGATGTGACTCAACAATATAAAAATTAATAATAATAATAATAATTTTCTCTCTTTCTTTTTTTTTTTTTTTTATTAATTGTTTAATGTTATTAAGAAAGAAGGAAAGATGAAAAACTTTTATTTAAAATCTTGTTTAACCGGATTAAAAAAAAAAAAAAAAGGATGAAAATAAATGATAATTTTTTCTTTTCTTTTTTTTTTAAGGAAAAAATTTTCTCTCTTAAAATGATATTTTTTCACAAAATGTTGTTTGCGTTAATAAAAAAAAAAAAATTGTTAATAATTTTTAATAGGATGATTGAATTTGTTATTGTGGTCCCTTCCCTCCCCCCTCCCCCCCTCTCATACGCACAAATATTTTTGCCATATGTCATAACGCATATTGATTATTATTTATTTATTTATTTATTTATTTATTTGCATTTCCTTATTAAACTAAACAAAGCAATTATGAAATTGACCTTCGCTTTTTTTTTCATTTTCCTTCCCACAGTAATTCATTCTTGTATACGCAAAAAAAAAAAAAAAAAAAAAAAAAAAAATACGCGGGGGAAGATTGTTATTTTGTTTTCGTGAAATTTTTTCGGTTTTTTTTTTTAATTAATATTTTTTTTTTAGCTTTCCCAATGATTTGTTTTTTTTTTCCATTTTTTTTTCTACTCGCGTAAATTGATTCGATAATAATAATAATTAAATTCCATATATATATTATCAATGGGGGGAAAATTATTTGTAATGAAATTTAAATATATATAAATGAATGGCAATCGGTGGTTGTGCCATTGTTGAAAAACATTTCAACTTAATCACCTTGAAAAAAAAAAAAAAAAAAAAATACGACAAAAATTTTTTATATTTTTTTTTTCCCTTTTACTTCATTTGTTTCTATTATTATTATTATTATTATTATCATTATTATTAGTATGTATCTCGCGTTTATAGACCCACGCCTACATTAACAAAATGAAATCAATCAATTTCTTAAATAAAATAAAAAAAATTACCGTGTTATATATATATATAATGTCATTTATTTTATATATATATATTTTTCTTTTCTTTGTTATTCGGTATATATATTATTTTGATATTCAATAATAATAATAATAATAATAATAATAATAATAATAATAATAATAATCTTTATTAATTGAATTATGAAATTTTTTTTTTTTTTTTTTTAAATAGGTTACGTGATATAGATTTTTCAAAAAGGTTCGCGGTTTTGTCAAAAACATTTTATTTATTTATTTTTTTTCTATTTGTTAAAGAAAATGTTTGTTAAAGTGTTAATTTAAAAATGACATTAACGAAAATAATAATAATAATAAAATCATCAAGAGGAAAATTAATAAAAAAATGAAGTTCGCAGCTCCGCTACGGAGTGAATCTTATTCATTAATTAGAAAAAGGTAATGTATATGACAACCTTTTATTGTTGTTAATTTTTTTTTTTTCATATTTTATAATAACAATAATAATAATAATGATAATAATAAAATGCACGCGTGCATGCACATGGATTTACAAAACACCGTCATTCAACGTACTAGAACAACTCGATAAAAAAAAAAAAAAGTACGTTGTTAACGTAAATAATTTTATTTAGAAAACGAGAGGAGAGAAACTTTATTAAATTGGAGTTATAATTTTTGTGATAATTTAAGAAACATTGTGTCAGTTTATTGAACCAAAACCTCATCCCTTAAAACTATCAACTTTTGGGGTGAATTTTCAAAAGAATCATTTTAATATGAAACGGGGAACGCCTTTGAGTTTTTACAGACCGGGATCATAAATATTATTTATTTATTTTTTTTTTTTTATTGTTTCTCTTTCTCTCTCACTCTCTCGGTGTGTGTGTGTTTTCGATCCTAACAAAAAAGCTTTATTATTATTATTATTATTTAAAAAAAAAAAAAAGTCAATATTGTTTTTGTAATAATAAAGTAATTTAAATATTTTATATGGAAACACTCGGTCGAATTCTTCATATTGTCTGTATGTCCATTTGTTAAATGCAAAATTATTTCAAGAGAAAGAGTGAGAGAGAGAGAGAGAGAGAGAGAGAGAGAGAGAGAGAGAGAGAGAGAGAGAGAGAGAGGGAGAACAATATTATTTTATGTATCATTATAATAAATTATTTAAAATTTATTTTTTTTTTGTCAACGGAAAAACACAATGTTTCAATTTATTCATTCTGATTGGAAGTAAATATTTATTTATTTTTTTTTTGTAAAATTCGAAACATAAATAAAATATTTAATAAATACTCTACAGGTAAATAATAATAAATTATTTAACTTGCCATACAGGTTTAATTAACTGTACATAAAGTAAAAATATAAATAAAGATTGACTCTCGATTCGTTTTTTTTTTTCTTTTTTTTTTTTTCATCGCGTACCGTTTTATTAAAACTAAAAAAAAAAAAAAAGAAACAATTTACTTGATAATAATGATAAAAATATAATGTAAGTGAAAAAATAAATAAATAAATAAATAATTGTGATAACGTGTTGGAACGAGTCGAATAATGTGTGGCAATATTTTGTTTATTTGTTAAATTAACCAAAAATTATTTTTTTATGTTTTTTTTTTTTTTAATTAAATAAATAAGCCGTAGAATATAATAAAATATCTATTATTATTATCATTTAATCCGATTTAAATTATAAAAAAAGAGTAAAAAAAAAAATATTTATTAGGTCGCCATCATACTAAAAAAAAAGGGTTAATATGAATGAATGAAAATTCATTCCCTACAACATTAAAATAATTTTTTTTTTTTTTTTTTAATACAAAATTGAAAACACGTTTTACACATAAATATAATAATTTATGTTTGTTTTTGTTTGTTATAGAAAACAACAAGCTGAGGAAATATCATCTTCTGCAAGTAATTTTTTCAAAGAGAATGATTTTTCTGATACGGGACAATCAAAACCTAAGAATATGACTCAGGATTTGTTTGAATTATTAGAAAGAGTACAAAGTGCAAGAATCGATGACCAAAGATGTGTACTGCCTTCTTATTTTGCACAGGTAAATAAATAAATTAATAAATAATTATTGATTATTATTAAAATCAATCAATCGATGGTATTAATATCAATACAATGTATTGAGAATACCGGAAAAAGCGGGAAAATTAATTTAAAAAAATTTTTTTTTTTTTTTTTAAATATTATCAAAATAACAATAATATGCTTAAAAATTATTTAAAAAAAAAAAATAATAAAAAATGTAAAAGAAAACGAAAGAACGAAAAAAAAAAAAAAAAAAAAATTTTGTCAATGAGAGTTTGAAAAATTGACGACGTTGTTGTTGATAAAAGTTTGAAAATTTTTTTTCATTTAAAAGAAAAGGGTAGTCGGGGATAATAAAGAGTTAAGAGGTTGTTGACATTCATTATACAATTTCCGATGTTAGTTATTACCGTAGCCATTTATTTAATTGTCTTGTGCTGCTCTCTACGCGGTTTGTTTTGTAATTATAAATGGGAATCCGATAGGTGGCAGTTGCGTTTAATTTTTTATTTAGTTAAGTGGGTAATTAAACAATATGTCGCCAAACAATAGTAAAAAGCTTTTTTGAGATGCTAAATGATTATTTATAGTTTAGGTTGTGAAATGATTCGCAAATGTTTTTCTTTTCAAGTGAATTTAATTTTTTCTTTTTTTTTCTAAACGAAAATCACTCCATTATCTAAAATACTATTTCATCATCACCATCATTAATTTATGTACGAAAATTTTTGTTTGTACTTGTCGGAAGCTTTTATTGCATTTATTTCCGGTTCCTTTTGGACTATTTCTCTCTCTCTCTCTTTTTTTTTAATTTTTAATCATTTCAATATTTCACTGTATCGTTTCCGATCATTTTCTCATTTCTCTCCATCACTACAACGAATATTTTAATTAATTTACACTGTTTCGAAGTGTGAATGCTTTTAACAATGATATCCGGTTCTTTAATCGGGTCACAGTTTTCCATTTGAGCATCTCTGCAAGAGTCCATTTAACCATTTTGTGACCGATTTCGACATTATTTTATCCCTTTTATTAGTACAACGGATATTTCATTGCAATTATTAACGTATTATTATTTAGACCCTCATTCTTTTCTCTCCCCTCCCCACCCTTTAAAATAGGATTTTACCGATCGATCGAATTCGCGTGTATCGTCTTTTATTTTGGCCACGTGATGGCTTTTCTTCACGTTTAACCAATTTTTAAAAAAAATTGATAATTTATTATCCTTTATTAGTCGTTTTTTTACCTCCAATAAAATTTCGAATGTAAAAAAAAAAAAAAAAAAGTAAACGGTCAATCAATTCTGGTTTCTTTTTTTTTTTGGCAATTACGTTACAACTAGTAAATTTTGGCATTAATAGTAATAATAATAATAATGATGATTCAAGTCGATTCTGCGGTTAAATTATTTTTCAAGTCGGGAATGAAAAAAAGGTTGTTGTTAAATTTAAAAAAAATTTAGTTTTTGTTCTGGGTACTTGAACTGAGAACGGAACTAAAAAACATTAGGGTGGTCATTCGTCCATGATTTCCTTTAATCGTATCCTTTTTTTTTAAAAAAAAATTTTTTTTTTTATGAAATTAACTTTCCTTCGTGAAAAAAATTTAATCGTTTTATTATTATTATTATTATTGTTATTGTTGTTTATAAGATCCGGTCAGTGTCGTCAGGTTGATGATGATGATGATGATGGTTCGCAATAATTTCACCGAAAATTTAACTTTTTTTTAAAATGACGTCACAAATTTTACGTTTTCGAATGTAACGAATCTAAAAGTTTTTTTTAATGTTTAACTTATTAGATTTAAATAAACAAATTAGAAAAAGAAAAAAAATTTTCGCTGGAATTATTAATACAGACACACGCACGCAAACTACAACGGGAGGGGAGGGGAGGGGAAGGGGAAAGTCATCCATTGTTTTTTTTTTTTTTTTTTTATAGGCATTGTTTAATTAAATTTAATATGAAAAACAATAAAAAGTTTATAATATAAAATAAAAATGGGAGGAGAAGGGAACGAGAGGAAAGTGAGGGAAATTAACATCCGGAGGAAATGTATATGTATCAAGTGCGGCGGTGGCGGGGGTGGTGGTGGTGGCGGCATTCTTCGTTCCGGTTTACTGTTCTTAAATAAATGCTCCTTTTTTTCTTTTTTTTTTGTGTAAAAAAAAAAAAAAAAAAACGATGAGAATTTCTCATGAACTCTTTTTAATTGCTTTGCGAAAATGCCAAACCATCATCGTGTGTAGAAAAAAAAAAAAAAAATTTTTTTGAATAATAATAATATCATTATTATTATTATTATAACACATAGATATTTATGTTTATTCGTTTTATTTTTTTTTCTTGTTGTTCCATAATAAATAATAAACAGGAGGAAAATTATTATTATTATTATTAATATTTTGTGACGTAATTAAAAATCGAAAAAAACTAGAATGTAAAGGAATCCAACCAGGTGAAATAAAAGGAGGAAAAAAAAAAAATTTTTTTTTTTTTTAAAAAGATGTTACCATCACCTGGAATCGGTTTCTGGATATGAGTCTTGTATGATTCCCATCGGTCTCTGGAATAAAGTTGCTCTCATTGTTTGTTTGTTTGTTTCGACCATGTTGAAGTTTTGTGTGAATCCATCATTTGCATTTAAAACTCGTTTGTTGAAAGGCGTTCACGTGAAATCGTTTTTTTTTTTATTCTCTTTCTTTTTTCCTTCAGTCGGTACCCGGTTCGTGTCTGAGAGAAGTTAATTTTTTTTTTTTTTTTTTTCTATTTAATTGTATTGCCATTTATTATTATTATTATTAATATTACTATTGGTGGTTTCTTCTTTTGTGAATTTTTACATTAAAAAAAAGAGAAAATATGTTGTTTTGTTTCGTTTCCGTGTTTTGTGTTTGTCGTTATTAATTGTTTTTGACTTTGATGTTGTTCGTTTGACAAAAAAAAAAAAAAAAAAAACCTGGAGGTTAAATTTCAAAATTCGGTTATTTGCCGGATTGAAATTATGGGAGTTTTAAGATGGAAAGAAAGAAATTCGGGTCAAAGGGAACCAACAACGGGATCAGATAATAAAATCCCGAATTCATCCTCGACGGTGAGTCTCCCTTAAAAAAAAAAATTATTCTTTTTCATTTTTTTTTCTTTTTTTCCATAATAATTCCAAAATTTTGTACAACAACTGGCAGAATAGATTTTTAAAGATGGTTTTTGAGACAATAATAATAAAGTAGGAGATAGAAAATAATTATTTATTAAAATATCTGTGTCAATCGTGCCGAAAAAAAAAAAAAAAAAGAAAAAAAACAATGGAGGCGAAATTTTATTCATTTAAAATGTTTCATTCGAAAGTTTTTCTTTTCTTTTCTTTTTTTTATTTAACTTATGTAAGAAAAAAATAATGTGTCATTTGTCGATGGCATCTTTCAAACCTTAAACACTTTTTTTTTTAAATAAAAAAAAAAAAAAAAGATCAATAGAAATTATGGAAAATTTTCTGGAATAAAAAAATCATTTATAAATCTTGAGAAATAAACATATCTGCAACTATTATTATTAATAATAATCGTACAACAACAACAACAACAACAACAATAATAATAATATTAATGATGATAATAATAATAATAATAATAAAGCATCATCATTGATTAATAACAATTTAAAAAAAAAAAAAAAAAAAAAAAAAAAGAAAAACTTGAAAATCACGCTTTTGAATATTTTACGCATGCATAGAAATTTTTTATAATTACAGTTGAAATTTTTTTTTTTTCCTTTTTTTTCCTTTTTATTACGGTTTAAGTTTTTTTTTTTTTTTTTTTTTTACACGATTAATTTGTTGGATCGGGTTAAATATTGTGTCGTGGGCCCCCGGGGTCGTGTGGTGTCACATCAACCGAACAATGAAATGTTAAAAAAAAAAATTTTGTTTGTTTGTTTGTTTGTTTTAGGTTACGCGAGAAGAATCAAAAACTTCTTCGTCTGCACCCTCATCAGCTAGCTCAAAAAATAATGCATCTAGAGAAATATTATTATCAATAATTAACAAACCTGGGGGTCCTTATCCTATGGTTGTTTTACCCCCATCCGGGGGTTACTGGCTAGATGGTGATGCCGAAATTAATTCTTCTCCTTCTCCTTCTTCTTCATCTTGGCCTCCTCCCAGTGCCTCCGAAAGAACTCAAAACGCTTTTGTACGAACCCATCATTTGGAAACCGATGACGTTGCCAAATCCTACAGGAAATTTTTTTTAGATAAAGTATGTTTCGTTTTTTCATTCGTTCCAGGTTTTTCCCATACCTTCCAAATGGTATAAAAATGGTTCTTTTTTTTTCCAGGAGCATTTTAATTTTTTGGGTCACGACGAAGTTCTCGGTCCAGCTTTAATGTCCATGAAAACAGAATCCGTGGGTGACGTAGAACACACTCGGATTCTTCTTCGACTGAAAACTGGAACATTTCACGAATTGTTACCTTCCTCTTGCCTTCCACGACCCTCTCCTCAGGCTTGGGGAAAATTAATAAACGAAAATTTAAATGTACCTAATTGGCAACCCATTTACTGCCCTCAAGGATCCAAACTCGTGACGGCTTACGACGAACACGTTCTCGTTTCAAATTATAAATTTGGAATACTTTATCAAAAAAAAAAGCAAATCAGCGAGGAGGAACTTTTTGGTAATAGAATTTCATCTTCGACATTTGATGAATTTTTAGAAATACTTGGTAATAGAATAAGACTGAGAGACCACAAGGGGTACCGAGGAGGTCTCGACACACAATTTGGTCAAACCGGAGACGAAACCGTTTACGAAGTTTTTCAACAAAAGGAAATTATGTTTCACGTATCCACTCTTCTTCCATTTACGGAAGGAGATCCCCAACAATTGCAAAGAAAAAGACACATAGGTAATAATAATATAATCAATCAATCACCGCCACCATTATTATTATTATTAATCTCCTTTCATTTATTGCTATTATTTACTAAAAACGGGAAAATTTTTTTATTAATTTTGAAATTTTAAGGTAATGATATCGTTGCAATTGTTTTCCAAGAAGAAAACACACCTTTTTGTCCCGACATGATTGCATCGCATTTTCTTCATGTGTTCATTATTGTGCAGCCTTTAAATAATGGACAAGAGTACAAAGTATGCGTGACGGCTCGTGACGACGTTCCAGATTTTGGACCGGCTTTACCTAGTCCTTCAATTTTCAAAAAAGGACCCGAATTTAAAAATTTTTTACTTGCTAAATTAATAAATGCCGAAACGGCTGCATATAAATCGGAAAAGTTTTCGAAATTGGAGGTAAATAAATAATAACTCTCGATTATAATTTTTATTTTTTTTTCAAATTCAAAAAAAAAAAATTTTTCCTCTTTTAATTTATTTAGTCAGCAAGTTTTTAAAAAATTAATTTATATAAATAGATTCGTTTCTTATGAGATAAAAATAATTTTTAATTACAGTTGAGAACACGATCATCGCTCTTGCAATCTTTGGCCGATGAACTTCGAAATAAATCTCGGGAATTTTTAGGGGGAGAAAATAGTACGAATTTAGATACAAATAAAATGGACAACGGAAATGGCGGAAGTAGCAGATTTATTGACACGGTTAAAAAAGCACTAACAACGAGAGTGAGATCACATTCGGAAAATAATTTACAAAATCAAATCCCAACGGTTACCTCGAAAAAACCTCCTGCAATACCGGAAACAACAACATTTACAACAGTTTAGATATTTTTTTTTTTACTTTTTTTGTCCTCCCCCTTTTTATTAAATTTTTAAGTATTAAAGTTTAAAAAAAAAAGAAAAAAAAAATGATTGGTTTTTCAGAGTGGTAAATCTGTCGGATTAGGTAGAATAAAAAAAAGTGCACCGGGTTCTCCAGTTTCGAGTCCAGATCTCAATCCGAGACAAAATCCTTCCGAAAGTGACGATTCTTCACTCAACAGTATTGATCTCCATTACGCGGACAGCGACACAGGTTTGGAAAGTATGAGTTCGGCAGAAACAACGTTGAAATTTTGCGTAGGTTGTTCCGAGGGCGAATTGCTCAGGCAAGAAGTTACTAAATTAAAATGCGACAAATTGGATTTATTGCGACAAAATGTTGTAAGTGTTGGGAAAAATTTTTTTATTAAATTTTTTTTGGAATTATTATATGATAAAAAAATAAACGTATTGACAGGCGTGTCAAAGAGATTTGAAAACGTTAAGAGAAAAAGAATTGCAACTTCAATTGGATTTGTCGAGTGCTTCCAAAGAAATATTAAGATTACGAGAATTGTTGAAAGACTACAGCGCGGAAAGTGGAGGAGGAGGTCCTAAATAAATAAATAAATAAATAAAATATATTTTTTTTAAATAAAAAATTTTTTTAAATTCGTTATAATAAAAAAAAAACATAAACAAAATGCCTTGTAAAAACTTTTTTTTTTTTTTTTTTTTTTTTACAAAAAAAAAAAGAAAAAAAAAATTATTTATTTTTATAAGAGCTTTAAAACGAAAACGAAAAAAAAAAAGTTATTATTAAAAATTAACCTTAAAATAATTATTCAAAACAAACAAACAAACGAACAAACAAAAATAAAAAATAAAAAATTTTGATATAATACATAATGTCTTTCTTTCTATTATTATTATTACTTTTACCTTTTCTCATATTTATACAAATATATATTTTAAAAATATCACAATCGATCACAAAGAGAGAGAGAGAGAGAGAGAGAGAAAGGGAGGGAGGGAGGGGAGGGAGAAAGAGATCAGGCATATTAATATTTAAACAATAAAAGTTAATAAAAATTATTTTTTACCCACAATAATTTTACCTTTTGAGAGACAGAGATTTATTGAAAATCGCGTCGTTAATAATAATAATAATATTTGTTTTTTTTATTAATAATTATTAATTAAGATAACCCTCCTTACATAAGAATAAAAATTTAATTTTTTTTTTTTTTTACATAAAATAATTATTTATTTATTTAGATTTGTTATTTTTCTTACCTAAAATCTCCCCGTTTTAAGGTGATCGTTAAAACGTATTATAAATTATTATTATTATTATTATTATTAGTGCTAAGGTTTTAATTTTTTGAAACCGGCTCCATCTTGTCCCAATTTTAATTCTTCATAAAATGTCGGAGGTATTTCTGTTGTTGTCTGTGACGTATTAATACCTTCCTCCGGTACGTTATTACCAATTTCTTGTGATGATGATGATGATGATTGTAAATTATTACCCACGTGTTGTTGTGTGTTCAAATGAGCAACTTGAAGTGTTTCAGGTACGTGAGTTTGACCCTAAAATAATAAAAAAATTTTTTTTTTATCAAAAATTTAAAGGTTAAATGTATTGTTTTGCTTATCGATTGGCACGTGAGACATTAAAAATAATAATAATATTTTTTTACATCTTTCAAAAAACTTGGATTTTCAAATGCTATTCCTCCAGTTGTAAATTTTGGACCGAAAATTCTTTTGTATTTCATGTACCAAACGGCTCCAGCTAAAATGGCTCCGACTATTATTGCTGCCGAAATGATACCTATTATCACTCCCACCGAAGACGTTTCTGCACCTAAATAAAATCATGGATGATTTTTTGTTGAAAGTTATTTAAAAAAAACAGGAGCAAGAAGAACAATGACGTACTAATGCTGGAAGCAGATGTAACGTATTTATCTCCAGCAGTAAATTTAACTGGATCCGTAAGAGAACTTGTTCCAATATTATTCCCTGCTTTTATGACGCATTCATAAGTTTGTCCTTCTTTCAATCCTGTTATTTTAAATTCTGTTTCTTTGGTATCGTTTTTTAATGGGGATTTTGATCCCACAGGTCTCCAAAATATTCTATACATTGAAACGGTGTGTGGATTTTTTATTGGGGGATCCCACATCACGAGAACTGAATTCGAATCCAAATGTTGAATTCTAACATTTTGAGGAGGTCCCGGAAGTTTTTCTACAAAAAAAAAAAAAAAAAAACATATATTTAATTTTACGAAATAAATGATGATGATGATGATGATGATAATTTTTATCTTACCCCTTTCCTCTTGAAAACAAGACATTATTTGTTTTGTGTAACTTAAAATGCAAATCTTATTGTTCAACAAAGGTTCTCCTCTGCACCAATCGAGACATTTTCTAGGGACTCCACGATTACCACAACAGCTTCTGTGGTCGGATCCATCGGCAGCACATTTCATGAGTTTGTCAAAATCGCTCAGACATTCGGGTTTATCTATCACCATGTCAACATCTACGAAAAATCTACACGCTTCCATGCAAGAACTGGAGACGTTTTGTTCTAAGCAACACTGTGTGACGTTACTCAAAGAAGGTTCTTTGCGTATTCTGACGGACACCGCTTGGGTATCAGATCCGAAAGCATTTTCCGAGTGACAAAAATAGTCACCCTCGTCGACGTCGGCGATTCCGTGTATTATTAATTCCATTGTCCATTTCGATTCTTCCTGAAAATTTTCAAAAGTTTTTTTTTTTTTTTTTTAATTTCGAATATTGATGATCATTCTTTTTTTTTTTTTTTTAATCGTACTCACGTTCACGTCTTTGAAAATTTTAATATTTGTTCTTTCGCTTTCGATGACTGGAATTTTTCCTAAATGATCTCTCCAGAAAAACATTTTCGGTTCAGGATATGCATCAACTTGACACTCTAACGTAACCGTGTCTCCCATATTAGCTATCGTTATTCCGGATGGAATTATATTTGGTTCGTCTGGAACAAAATTACATTAATTGTTAATATTCAAATTTTACGGCTTTCGAAATCATTTTTTTTTTATTTTCTATGTAAAAACATATAATTCAAATATGTACGAAAATTAAAATGATAAAATTTTTTTTTTAATATTTTGAAACTTTTGGACGAGATCTGAATTTTCCATGAAAATTTCAAACGGTTTTCCTTTTAACTTACGACTTATTTTTATTTTTCTTGAGGCTTGCATTGGAGTTCCGTAACCGTTATCAGCGTAGCAAGATACGTGATTCATTTCTCTCGTGACGTTATGTATGACTGTGACCATATGTCGAGTCGTTTCTTGCCTTACGAGACGGCCGGTTATGTATAACGATACCGTGGGAGTCGGAGTTCCCATCGCGATGCATAATATTGTCATGCTACTTCCTTCGATCACTAAGTTGATAGGATGAACCGTCGGAGGTTCGACAAATGCCGGATAAACCGGATCCGTCCAAGCGATTAAAGTTTCGGAAGGCAAACTTAAAGCAGACGAAGTTTTTGCCACTATATAAATGATGTACTTCGAATTAGGAATCAAACCTTCTAACATGTGCGACGTTAAACTCGTTTCGACAACGTCGTAATCGTTTTCGTAAGCCGGCTTATGATAGAGTCTATATGTGATGGCTTCGCCGAATTCGCTGAATTGAGGTGGTTGCCATGAAACCGTAACCCAGTTAGCACTGTGAGATGAGATCACTAAAGAATGAGGGGACGAAAGAGAAGCTTTTATTCGAGTGTCGGTCGCGGCATCGGTCACGTTTATGAAAAGCACGGAAGACGGCAACGAAGTTCCCTGATCGTTTCTCGAGACTACGAAAATTTTATAAGTTTTGTTGTTTTGAAGATTGCTTAGCGTGACCGTTGTGTTTGCAGTACTTAACTGATTTTCCGTTTTAAATTCCTTTGTGTTTGCATACAAGTTATTTTCCAATTTATCGTAATACACCAAGTAATCAGTCACGTTGGATTTCGCCGGTGGCTTCCACGATATTGTAATAGAATTATTTGAAATTGAAGAAGCGTGTAATTCCCCGATCGGACCCGGAAGCAAACCCGTTCCTTCTTCGAAACATAGTACAATGTTTCCGATGTAAGGTATGCATTTAGCGGCAGTCGTAAGCAAAGAATCGACAACGGTGCCGTGACATAGTGGAACGCAATCTTCGGGTACCCCACGTCGTGAACAGCATTTGTCGTGATTCCTTCCGCCCGCTCCACATCTGATTAATTTGTGAAATTCCCGCCCGCAAATCCCTCCCAAGTTTTTAATGTCTTTCATGCTCGCGTCGTACGAACATAGTGGTAGGCACACAGTTGGTAAGCCACTGCTCACACAACACTCGGTCACGTTGTAAAAACTAGACTCCTCAATTTCCGTTTCGATTATTTTACTTTCCGTCGTGAAAATTATTCTCGATGATGGATTGCTGATTCCGTAAGAATTAACCGCTTCAACGTATACTTCGTACTGCGAACTGCTTTGTAGTTTTTCGAGAACGTACGGAGGATGAACTTTACGAAGACTTTGATATTCGTTATTGTACGCTGCCATATTTCGGTAATGTAGATTGTAGTGAAGGATCGTGTTCGAAAGGGTTTTCGAAGGATTCCAGTGGATTATTGCAAAATCGGAATTGACATTCGACACAGAAAGACCCTCGGGTTCGCTCGGTAAAACGCCGTAACTTTGAAATAAACAACTGGAAAAGTCACTCATGTATTTGAGGCACTTAAAGTAACTAAAATCGATTTGAGTTATATTTCCGGTGCATAAAATTTGACAAGCTGTTGGGAGTCCTCTGGCTTTGCAACACGGGGATAAATCCACTCCGTTTGTCAAACAACTAAAAGTAGTGGCGGCCCAAGGGGCACAAATCATCAAATCCGTGATCGAAGTGACATCGGAATGAACCGGATCGCACAATTTGTCAAGGCACACCAAGTGAGTCACACCTTTTTTTACACAGCAAGTTTTTATATCAGGTAATTTCGGTGGATCATAATCAGCCTTATTTCTAATTGTTCCCCGTGGCAATGTCGTCGATCTAATGGCAAAAGATGGCAAACTCGTTCCGTGATCGTTTTTGGCCGTTATTGTTATTTCGTACATCGTAAACGGTTCCAGATTTTTTATCTCCGTCAGTAAAACATTCGAAGGTACAGATATTTGTTTTTTTTCTGATCGAAGTTTCGCTTCATCCTGGCGGTTTTTTTGTAACGCGGTCGCATAGCTATCCCCGTCGTCGTCGAAACTTCTAAGAGTTGTGATGTTAATAATGTACGATTTGACTGTGTGAGAATTGGCCACGGGAAGTTTCCAAGACACCTGTATGGATGTTTCCGACAAAGGCTCTACTTCAACATCTTGAGGCGAACTCGGAAGTAATTCAATGCCTTCAACGATGCAAGCCAAAGTTTGTTCCGTATAAGCGGAACATGAAAAATGAGTTTTAATATTGTCTGTAATTACTGTATATTCTCCTCGGCAAACATCTTGGCATATGTCAGGTACGCCCTCATCGATACAGCAAGGAACGTGATTCCGATGATCTGAAAAAAAAAAATTAAATATTAAGCTCCGATCGAGGCTGCCGTATAAGCGAATTAAACGGTGATATAAACCGTAAAGAAAAATTGAAAATTTTTTTCTTCGATCGATTTTCTTAACTTTTAATATAAGCCTTTGATAACGTTCACAAGAGATTTTCCACGGTCATATAAATTCGAGTTTTTAAATAATAAAAAATTTTTGTACCCGCCATGCATTTCACAATGTTTGGAAAATCGTTTTCACAATTTTCGGGATCCTGACCCGCATTTCCCTCCAATATGCTCTGAATATTACAAAAACCAAGACATGATTTTGTCACGTTATTTCCTATGCAACAATCAGTATAATTGTGACTTTTTGCTGAAAATTTTGACTCCTCGACTTCGGAATTAAAAGGTACTGCAGATGAATTGTCGGGAGGTTGCAAAGCTCTTGACAAAACTGAAATTAATATAATGACAAATTATGTATTTTTATATATATTATCGTTCAAAAATTTTAAGTTTGACCGTAAATAATACCATTTAATTTGTGGAAAGATCTCACGATCGGATCGCTATTTACTTCGCAGATATAAATCCCAGAATCTGTGGCATTGGAATTTTTTATAACTAAAACCCACACATCCCCACCTGGAAAATGAAAATTATTATTAATTAAATTGCAAACTCATTAAATTCTCATTTAAATTCAAAAAAAAAAAAAATTTCAATACTAAAGAATTATTTTGTTGAAAATTTATTGTCAAGTTTCTAACACAATTGTCAAAGAAAAAAAAAATTATTTTTTAAAGCAAAATTTTTGTAAAGAATAATTTTATTACTTAACAAACGCAAAATGTTTGCTTTAAAAAAAAAAAAAAAAAGGCAAAACACGAAATGAGATTTGCAATGGCATTTAATGAATTTCACCATGGGCTTTGTATGCAATGAATTTTAATTTTCGTTAGCAAATATTATAACATCTTTTTCTTTGGAAATCTCCTAAAATTTTTTTTACTCCGAAACATTCACTAGGATTATTATTATTATTATTATTTATTACGTAGACTTAATATTCACGTTTATTTAAATAAAATCATTTCACTCCATAGTAATCTCGGAAAAATGAATTTTTCAATTAGGAGGTAAATGGTTTAGGTTTTATAATATATTCAAGTATTTTGAACCTTTGTCATGTAAAACACTGAATCTTTTATCTCCAGTAACTCTATTATCTCCAGCGGTAAGAACTCTTCTGCTGTGTTTTTCTCTATCTTCTTTTTTCCATGTCACCGTATTGTCTCCAACATTACTAACGACACATGTTATGAGAGCATCATCTCCTTCATAGACGTGATAAGGTCTCATTAAACCTACTGCATCTCTCACACTTGGAAGGTTGTTTACTTTAAAAAATAAAAAATTATTATTATTATTATTATTACGATCGAATAATAAGAAAAAGAATTTTTTTTTCTCGAATATTTCGGACGTATTTGTTGAACGTAAAGGGATAAGATTACGTACAACTAATATTATTATTAACTTATTTTAACATAATTTCTTTATAATCCATTTGAAAATAATAATAATAATAATAATAATAACTTGCCTGCTACGACAAATGATAAATTTAATAAAAAGGCAAATCCAAAAACTTCCATTTTAAAAAAAAAAGAAAAGTTTTTTTTTTTTTTTTTCCAAAAGTATATGATTATTCTTGAACGTCACGATATGTAATCAAGAGGACTCAAATCGTGCCTTAAAAAAAAAAAAAAAATGTAAATATTGAACGAGAAAAATAATAATAATAATATTTGCTAATTCATATTTAAAATGGGATGGGTAGTACCTCTTGTTGCAACATTAAATCAAATGAATAAAAACTCACCGGTCAAAGAATTTTTACTTGTTAGCCTTCAAAAAAACATTTTTACCCATTGGCCATATATAAAAACCTGTGAAAAAAAAAGTAAATAAATAAAAGGTAAATAATAATTTGCTATTTAATAAGTTACTAATTGATTTATAATAAACAAACGTTTGCCACAATTTTATCAATTTCACATTTATAATTTAATTAATAAAACTTTTTTTTCACTTCTTGGCATATCTCCCTACATTTCTTAATATTACTAAACGTGGAAAAAATTTTTATTCATTCAATTTAAACTTATGGTCTGAACATTTTGGATGTGTTCAGAAAATTTTTTTACCAGTAGTAAATAAACCATTTCTATTGTGTTTTATTTGTGTCGGACACTTGACCGCAACAATTTTGTTATATTTTACGCCATTTTTTAATTTAATTTTCCACTTTTTGCCCAAAGTCGAACTCTTGTCAAATTGTGCTCGCTAATTTTTTTTAATATAAAAGAAAAGAAAGAAAAAAAAACAAAAATATACAACACAGCCAATTAAAAATTTACAAAATCAAGTTTTTTTTTTTTTTTTAAATATCTTTTAAATTTGTACAACAAGAAAAAAAAAATTCAGGTTTTTTTTTTTACGGTTCAAAGCCCCCTCCAAGTGTAAAATTTTATGTCAAAATATCAGTTGAGAAAAGTTCAAACTTATAAGAGGTTTTCCATAAGGATTCGATGATGATGATCTTATTTTTCGTTATAAACTTTCAAGGCCATCTGCTTTTGGTAATAATAATTTGTTTACAAAAACAACATATAAAAGATGAGAAGATTTCTTCTTCTTTTTCTTTTAAGCAATCAACTGTAATATCTTTGCTCTTTACGATTAATAAAAAAAAAAAAAAAAAGAAGAAAATTATTGTTTGATCTTTTGACGTAATATATATCTTTATATTTATAAAAAACAATAAAAACATTATTATTATTATTTTACATATTCATAACCGAGAGTTATCAATTGATTTTATAATAAAGGTAAAAGCTAAAACGAAATATAAAGTATCATTTACTATTTGATAAACAAATTATTAAAAAAAAAAAATGTTGTTTAATAAAATATTAACTTTTTAATATGTCGATAAGTTAATCAAATGAATTTGAAAAATATTTTATGTATATTTAATTAACAGAAAGAAAAAAAAAAGGTGAGTGAGTTTTGTTGTTGTTGAATTGTTTCTACATTTCAAAACAAATATTTATAATTAATTTTTTTTTTACTAATGATAACAGTAGTAAATATTAAAATATTAAAATGTATACGTGTGAGAATAATATTAATATCTTATTAACATTTTTTTTAAATTTAAATAAATAAAACGTTTAAGTAATTAATAATAGGCAGAAGTATATAAGTAATTAAAAAAAAACAAACAAATGAAAAGTGATTTTTTTTTTTTTTTCAGGGTAAAGGCTTTGTTGTTTTAAGGGAATTCATTCACTCAATTCACATGACATTCTAAAATGTAAAAAAAAAAAAAAAAATTTTCCTGGCATTGTTCTGACCTTTTTCTTAATCGAACGGAAGAACGCAATGCCTGAATAATGAAGAAAGATGAAGGACATCAATTATGATTTTGCTTGCGAATTCTTTGTTATGTAACATATAATAAATTTTAATGGAATGCTGAAAAAATTGTATTTGACCTTGACCTCCCTAGACTTGCAGGTTTATAACATTCAGAAAAACTAGTTTGGCCTTGTCCACTTACATCTTTTTTTTTTTTTTTTTTTTTTTACTTTTTTATTTTGCAGAAGACAAAAAACACACAAAGACCCCCGAGGTATTATTGTAATAGTTAATAAAAATTTGATTAGAAAATATCATTTTTAATAAAATATAAAATTAAATTTGTAAAAAAAAAAAAAAAAAAAAAAAAAAAAACTAATTTTTACCAATGTTGATTAACAATATCCTTACAATCATATTTATTTATTTTTTAAAAATCCTTTTAAATGCTGACAGTGGGAAAAATTGATTTTTTTTTTTTCCCTTCCCGACAAAGAAAATAATAACCCAAATAAGAAAAAAAAAACCTTGATTTAATTGACTAAATGTTAAGTAGCAGTAACACTCCAGTAACTTCTCCAAGGATTATACGGTCATTATGTCAAAATTTTTATAATTTTTCTGACCTCGGTTAAAAAGCAGCCTTTTTTTATATTATAATAATTAAAAAATAAAAACAAACAAATGATAAATACATTTCTGTCAGCTTGTTAGTTCTAAAAACAAAAACAAAACCATAAAAACCTTTTTTTTTTTATTACTTTAATTGTTATTATTATTATTGTTGTAAATTTAAAAAATTTCACGCAAAATTTATTTTTTAAAAATAATGTTATGAAATGATAACGGTAATTATTGAACAAAAACAAAACTCCCCTTTTTTTTCCATTTTAAATAATATGTTATAATTAACATTGGTAATTTAATTAGATGAAAAAAGAAAATTAAGTTAACATTTTGAGTATGTAACAGGATTACAACAACATTAACAACATAAACATAAAAAAAAAAAAAAAAAAATGGTATGAAGAAGTAAGAAAAAAAAAAAAAAAAAGGTACAATTATAAAGAATTGTGTACTTTGAATTCATGGGCAATCATATTCAATGTCAAACAATTCAAATTAACTCATGATTTGTAATAAAATAATTGTTAATTAATTTATTTAAACTTATGATTTTAATTAAAAATAAAAACTTACCTTACATAAAATGTTAATTTAAAATATTCATAATAATAATAATAATAATAAATGTAATAACACAAACAAGGTTGATGAAATCCTTGTAATTAAAATGATAAAAATGTTACAAACATATTTAAATTTACATTTATTTATTTTTATTATAAAACACTAAATATATTATTAATATTGATAATAATAATAATAAAATTCAATTATAAATTTAATACCTTTATATATATATATATTATTGTTATTTGTAATGTGAGATATATAAAATTCAAATACCAATTGATAATTTTAAATATATGCAAGTTAATTACCACTTGCTTCTCATAGAATAAAGTCATATAATTATTATTTTATGTTCTAATTATTATTATTATTATGGATTTATAATAATAAAACTAAAAAATAAAATTTTAAAGGTGGTCATGGGGGAGTAAAAAGGGGCAAAACTTTGATTGATGCTGCATCATCCCCAACAATAAAATAATAAAACAAAATAAAAGTTTAGTTTTAAATATTTTACCTTATATGATTAATTACTTGAAAAAACTTCTAGAAGGAATTTTTGTTCACTATAATCATTCACTTTTTTACTTTTTTTTTTTCCACTAACAAAAACTAATTGCAATATACACACATATATATAAGTATTTATAAAACGCGCGCGCGCGTAAGTGTATGTGTGCGAGTGTAAATATTATATTTATATGTTACTAAATGATAATTTGCTAGAGACAAAAAAAACAAAAACTAAAAGAAAAAAGCATAAATTGTTATTTTCGACTTAAAACAATGCTTTAAAAACTCATATAAATACTGCGAAAGCATAACGATTTTTTTTTTTACATGGAGTACATGAATTGTTTCCCGCCACAATCACACATTATAAACTAACCTAAACTCAAATGATATTTGCGCGAACAAAGGAATTCGGGAATGATCGGTTTTTTTCGACTTATTACGTATTTCTTTAATTTGCAGGTATGAATTTTTTCGAATCAAGTATTCAAAAATACAATCCAAGTTTAATTTTCTTCTTTTTTTAATTTAAATATCAGTAAAATTTCGATAAAATTACAATTACTTAAGTAAAAAAAAAATAATTTGACGAAGGAATTAATAATTATAATTGCTTTATTATAAAAAATAAGTTTTGGAAAAAGAATATTATTTTAACTTTATGTAAGGAATACCCGAAGCGAGTTCAAGGCTATATCGATTTATTTGAAAAAAAAAAAAAAAAAAAAAAATTATTGCTACAAAGGTATTCTGCAATGAATGTATACCGCATCAGATTTATAAACACGGTATTATTTCATTTGCCCTATTTTTTCTTTTTATGTTAATAACACTTTATCATAAATTTTTTTTTAAAAATAAAATTTAAAATGTCACAGACACATCACAAGTGAAGACATAATAAATTTACTCTCTGAAATTTAAAAATAAGTGTCTACCAGTAATTTTGTTTTTTTTTTCTCCAATTATTCAATTACATGAGTCTATATCGATAACAACAATGTTTTTTTTATCTTATTTGAAATATTTCAAAATAATTAAAGCGGAAAAATTTTTTCTTAAATTGCTTTTATTGTCTTTTTAAAACCTTATTTTTAACCATGTATTATTTATATTCATAAGTTACATTCAGCTAATGAACAATTGTAATTCAGACAATTTTTTTTTTACAACAACTTATTTTACATGGCTTAAAAAGATTGGGCAAGATATGGTTCCCCAAATAACCATTACTAATGAAAGAAATTATTTTAAATTAGTTCTCTAGATAAGTTGTTCAATAGCGAGAGTTATGAGATGAATTTGCTAAAAGATACTCTACGCTAGCTGAATCAAGACAAAAAAAGACAATTATTTAGGACAAATAAAAATTCTTTCTTTTTTTTTTACCCATATATATATGTATATACATGTTTATTACAAAAGAAACTTTTATTGGTAAATTTTCTGCATAAAGTAAACTTTTCTCTCCATAGGTAATTTTCAATCGACATGAAACAAATTAATACATGTAAATTAATAAAGGTAAAGAAAATTAAAATTACAATTTTACATTTGAAAACTTTAGAAATTATTAAATACTTTTTTATAAATAGTTTTTTTTTTTTTTTAAATTCAAAAATTAGTATAAATACAGGAGGCATATTCCGTTGCGGCCTCCTTGATTAAAAATTTTGTTACCAACATTTACAAATACATGTAGGAATAATCAAAATCAAGTTTGCAGACGACAACCTCCAAAACTAAAATTGTTTGCAGGGTAACGTTTTTAATTTGTATTATGCGCAACAGCATAACATGCTTCTCTGGATTGATTTTGGTAAGTTTATTTTACGTCGAAGAATTATTGTTTTCGACTAAATTCATAATTCGTTCGAAATTTTATAGGAAACAAATAAAAAAGTAGCTCGTGATTTTCCCCTTATGTCTTGTGTGTGTGTTTTTTTTTCTTTTTTTTTTTTTTTTTTCTCTCCAACCAACATTTAAAATGCCATCATTTGATTTCAGAAAAATAAATTTTAGTTATACATTACAAATAAAAGTGAAAATAATGACTATCTATTTTGGTAAAAGCAGTTTTTTATAACTGGTATATAAAACTTATGATGTCACACTATGGCTTACCATTTAATTATGACGATCACTGGATTTGTGGAGCACTGGAATTGTCGATTGAAACTCTTGCTGGCACTAACTTTGAAATAAAAGTATCGCCCAACGATACAATAATGACCATTAAATCTAAGATTCAGAGCGTGGAAGGCATTCCAATATCTCAGCAACACCTTTTATATAACTTTACAGAATTAGAGAATTCTGCCTTTATAAGGGATTACTCTATACAAAATGGAGCAACTTTAAAACTTGTCCTGTCTATGAGAGGAGGTCCTATTAGTACGAAAAGACTTCCTCCCGTGGATGAAATGGCATGGAAAGAACTTCAAGAGATAATGTCTGTAACTCAAAAAGGTGATTTATTTGAAAAATTACCCACTGGATCCAGAGTTACAGTGTTGGTATTTAGAGAAGGAGATCATGTCAATTTACTAAGAGTTGTCGAAAATGAAGATGGCAGTTTTTCACCATTATCTGAAACTTGGAAGGGTTCTTCTATAAGGTGAGTACATTCATTTATATCTCTTTATTTTTAATATTGATATCTGAAAAAAGTAGGTCCAAAATTTTATATTTATAATTTGAGCATCTATGAATGAATTTAAAATTATCTCAGGTGAAAGCATAATATGTAATGATTGTTTTAAAATCAAATTTTTTTTTAAAGTTTCAATCACTTTCAAATGACCTCTGTTGAAATGATATAAAGTTTTTGTTCTTCTCCTGATTCTTTATTAACAATTTATTGCAATAAATTGTTATAAAAGTGTCATAAACTTTTTTTATTTTCTTAACAAATATTTCTCTTTTCGAAAATTAAATAATACTTAATAAGAATGTGGTATATTGATTTTGAAAAAGAAAAGAAATTTATTATCACTGTTAGATAATAAGGCTTTTTTTCAATGTAATTTTTATTATATACAGTTTATCGTAGTGAGGAGTGAGAGGCATTTTTAATAAGGTTTTTGTTTTTAATTTGAATGGTCGAGGCCCATGATTTTTTTTATTGTTTGGTTTTACATTCTTCTCTTTAAAAATATCATTAGTGAAGCATAATTTCATCCCCTTTGCAAGTTGTCTTTTTCCTCATTATCATTAAGTTTTAAAAAACAATCTTAAATATTTGTTTCCACTCTCAGTTAATAAACATTTATCTTAACTGTAAACCAGTATTTAAATTTATCACATCTCAATATACAATCCATCAACTCAGATGTACTTCTAAAAATATGATTACAATATAAAAAATTATATTAAGGAAATAAGTGTGTGAGCGTGGGTGTTTACTTTTGGAATAAACCAAATCAATATTTAACCGCGATATTGCAAACAAGACGTGATCAACAAAAATTAGTCCACTAAATTCCGTCATATGAATGACCCATTATGTTTCAATTATATTAAACTATTTTTTATTCATATATATATATATACGGAAAAATTCTATTTTTATTGGCTTAATTAGATAAATTGTTTTGTTCGTGGATTTTTTTTTTAAATCTAATTTATAATTTTAATTGTAGAAATTTATTTACTGAAGAAAATGCTGAACAATCAGCTAAAAGACTTCAAGAAAATTCAGTTACTATGGGAAAAATGCAGGAATTAAAAGAAAAACTTGAAAATTTATCAATCCATAGAAAGGAAAAACAAAACGAAAGCTTATCCTCTGTAGAGGATCCGTTACTAAGTAACGTTTCCGATGGTACACAGAAGGAAAGTAGTAATAAAGTCTTAGAAAAAAATCTTTTTGTAAATTTACCCTCGGGAGACTCCAATCCTACGAATTGTTCAAAATTAATTCAGAAGCCCGTACAAGATACTGAAAAGGAAACAAGCCCATGGCCTCGAAATCGGTTGATGTGCTATAGTAAATCATCCCTGGCTGCAATTGCAAAAGCAAGGAAAGAAGCTGAAAATATAATTCGTATGCAGTCGAGTTTGAGTATTTTAATTGATTCTGAATCTAATAAAGGTTACAAATTTCGACGAACGCCTTTACCCGATATATGCCGTTCGCCTAAAAATGAAGAACAAGATAAAAAATTAAGTGACAATGATTTAAAAAAAAGTTTGAGAGAAAAGACTGCAAAAAGCTTTGCTATTGTAGAGAAAAAAAGTGACTCGACGGAAACTACTAGAATTTGCCCTTCTAGATCCTCCGTCGTTGAATTGCCATCGAATGAAGAAATAGCAATAGCATATCCTCAAATTCCCAGAGAGGGAATATCGAGAACCTTAAGTAGAAGCAGATTTAGAGTCTCTAGATATGTTTTTAACAAAGACGAAAGGCCGAAAACAACGCCTGGCAATATCGACCACCGGAAATCACTCTCGGAAGTAAACAAGGAAATTTGTGATTTTATATTAGAACCGGAAACCCATAAACGAACGAGCCTTACTTTTCCCTCGCTTTCAACCGACATAACTAGAACGAATTTGAATTATCGAGTAGACGTTTTAGACCACGTTAACGAAAGTAGAAAACCCGAATCTCGAAGTCAACTTAAAAAGCGAGCATCTTCTTTAATTAAAAATCCGTCCTATCAAAATGATGTCTTGCTATCGTCTTCTTCGGGTACCCAGAAACTTACTCCGCTAGTCGTGAAAAAGCGAATGCGCTGTTCTCAGTGCAGGAAAAAGATAAACATCACGAATTCGTATACTTGTAGGTGCGGTCGTTTGTTTTGTGCAATTCACCGATATTCTGAAGTACACAATTGCCATTTTGATTACAAGGAAGAGGGCAAAAGAATACTGCAGGAAACGAACCCATTGATCGCAGCTTCTAAGTTGCCCAAAATGTAATTTTTTTTCTTCATTCTTTTATAGATATTTTATTTGCACATTGTTAAATGCTTATTGCAAGAAAAAAAATTTTTTTTTTTTAAGTTTTCCTCAAAATTTTTTTTAATTTATGTTGGGTTTATAGTAAAAATTAATTTATCAACCCAATTCTATTACCGTGTTTTTTTTTTGCCCTTTGAAATGTAGTTTAATAAACTTATGCCAATTTTTATTTTTATTTTTATTTTTTTTATTTTTTTTTGGGGGGGGGAGAGAGAGAAGGATAAAAGAAATTATTTTTATTCGTTAGAAATGCAAATTATTAAATAAAAATTTGTTTATTTATTTATTTTTTATAATTCATTGAATATTAATTAAATATATATATATATATATATATATATATATATATATATATAAACAATATTGTTATAATATTATATATATGTTTATATACTCACATATACGAATTAAAATAAAAAATTACTCTTCTTCTATATATATATATATATATATATATATATATTTTTGTAGATTAGTAAATTGAAAAAATAAGGAGTAGTTATTATATTATTAATTAATTATTGGTTTGTTGATTATTTTTTGGTTTATGCGTCGAAATAAGAATCACTTTGCTTCTTAGTCTATTACAATGAATAATTTTTTATTTTTTATAAATTAAATAATTGTATTTGTTAGTTTTGTTTTTTTTTTTTTTTTTTGTTATTTTATTTTTCTTAAATAATTCTGTCGGGGGTTTAGTTTTTTATTTAAATTTTTTGACCGTGGGGATCAATTAAGTATTAAATAATAAAGAAAAAAAAAGGTTATTATATAAATAAAAAGTTTTTATTTATAAAAAAAAATAATTTCTTTTTTCATGTTAACAAATAACTTTAGTTATTTTCTTCACATCATTTCGAATAAAAAATCTAATTGTATCGATTTAAAAAAAATTTAACAAATATATATATATATATATATATATATATATATATTTATTTTTTGGACATTTGGATCACTTGTTAGAAAAATATTATTAATTATATTAACTTGCTTGTTTTTTAGCACTTAATAAATACTTATTATTTTTAAAATTCTGGCCTTGATTTATTTATCATTTACACGATATTATTATTATTATTTATGAATTTGTTTCCGTTAAAAATTCTTCAAATACATCAACTAAATTTTGAAGACCGTTCAAATAATTTTCATCGATACTTTCAAAATCTGATTGAAAAACGTGAGCAAAATCAATCATGGCTACATTAACCCAAAGCTCATTATTTGATTTACCCATTAAATCGTTTAAAATTAAATTGTAATTGTCTTTCATATCTTGAAGATCTCTCTCGTAATTATTTATTAAAGAATGAGTTCTAAACAAATTATCAAAATTATTTTGGGATCGAATTTTTCTAAGGGATCCCCCCAATCTGTTGTGTGTTGAAGGTTCACGATTTTGTCCCATTTGAAAACTATTTTGTCTTCCAAGAGTGGATTTACTTAACTTATTTTTACAATAAACCGAATTTTGCTTAATATTTTGTCTTAATTTTGATGCATCGTAAACGAGTAATAGAGAACTGGAAAAAAAACGATATTTTTTTTGATATCGAAACCATCGAAGTATTTTCCACAATTTTGTCAAGAATTGAAGGATCAAACTTCTATTCCAACCATAATCAGCATTAAGAAATGTTTTTATTGCATTTTTAGCTCCTTGACCATTTAGGGATTTACCATATTCTCTTCCTTTTTTTATCAATTCTCCGGTTGATAAATTATAAACCTGAAAACCTGGAATACAAAAACCTAAATCTTGTTTGCATTCGCGGTATTTAGCCTAAAAAAATTAAATAAATATTCATTTATTATTATTATTATTATAATTATTTATATATTTATATTTAAATCTAACGTAAAATTATCATCATTAGTATTAGTATTAGTATTATTATTATTATTTACTTCTTCCGATTGTTTTTTTTGTTCGGTTGCATAAAAATCCCACGTTCGAGCTCCTATTTTTAAATCCATAATACAAGGTTCATTAAATTTATGTGTTATATTTTGTAATATCATCCATTTGACATTATAATCATCCGGATTTTGTTTCATATTAATTTGTGTCAAACCAAAATATGAAGGAACAAAATTTTTTAATTCAATATCAATTGGATCACATGAAGTTTTTAATTTTTCATAAAATTCAATTTCTCTTCGACCCTGGTCTTCATCCATGAAAACAGGTTTTAATACGTAACCGTCTTTATGACTAAGAAATTCTATGAAAAATTATATAAAAATAATATTAAAACATTTTTTTTAACAATATGGAGAGACAAAAATTTAATAATCAATTATGTTATGAAAAAAGAAAAAAAAAGGGGGGGAAAGATGAAAACTTACCAAAAGGTTTTCCCTTTTTATTTGAATGACCTGCAACCTGACATTCAAATATATTAACAGTGTCATCAAATGATATAAAATTTTGATTTGTATCTTCTTCTAATTTTTTTTCTTCGCTTTCAGTCATTATTAACATTTTTTTATTAAAATATCAACATTTAAAATGAAAAATTCTCACTGAAACCAAAAAAAAAAAAAAATTTAACGAACAGTAAAAAAAAAAAATGATGTTAATATGACAACATGCAACATTAAACCAAACTGCATAAAATATTATTTAATTTTAAATTTTTTTAAAAAAATAAAAATAAAATACACTCACACGATAATAATAATAATAACAAAACAAATAAAATGGCGAAATAAATAAAAATAAATAAATTCGTTCTTTTAGAATTGTCGTAATAAAAAAAAAAAAGAAAATGATTCTGCGCCGATTAAATCTCAACACGAATCATGTGATTCAATTTGTTGAAAAAAAAAAAAAAAAAAAATTTTAATTTGACCGTTGATCTTTGATTTTAAAAACTATTGACATTTTATTTATTTATTTTTTTTTTTTTTAAAGTAAAATTTTAATTAAATTCTCAAATGGCAAACAAAAAAAAAATAAAATCTCAAAATCATAATAAATATTTATTTGTTTAAACTCGTTATATTTAGTTTAAACAATCTCAAATAAATTATAATGAAAAATTTTAATTAAATTAAATTTATTTAAAGTTTGAATAAAATATTTTGGAGGATAAGGTTTCTTTTTTTTTTTTTTAATATTTTGAAAAATCCATAATTGTCTTGTAAAAATAATAAAAAGATTATCCCCCCCCTCCTAATAATTAAATTTTCTATATCTCTTAACAATATTAAAATTATTTAATTAAACTTAATTTTTTATTATTATTATTTTATTTTATTTTATGAAAAAAAAAAAAAAAAAAAATAACATTTGATGCCAACAAAAATTTAGCACGAGTATCCATTGATATTTATTATGAAAAACAAAATAAAAAATTTTTTCTTTTTTTTCCCCAATAATTTTTTCAACAAATGGGATCAGATGATTTTACAAGTACTTGATGGGGCCCACGTGTGAACTTTTTAAACTTCCATAAGTTTTAATTTTTTCAACTTTCTTCAACTTTTCTAATCTTTCTGATTTTAAAGATTGTCGACTGCGTAACAATCTGTGATTGAATGGTTTTTCGGATTTGACTTTTTTTGTTTTACAGGATTTTGATTGATTTTTTAATAGAGATTCATCCGGTTGAGGAGATATTATGTTTAATGTAGGTTTACTTTTTTGAGGATTTTTAGTTTCGGTATTTGCCAAGTTTTCAAAATAGGGTGAATAAATGAAATTAATGTTTCCAGCATTCCTACGAAATGCAAACACACAAGTATATTCACTGATTAAATATCATTTTATTTATAAATCTAGTATTTGATTAAAATTAATTAATAAAAAATATATATATATAAAAAAGAAAAATTAAAAAAAAATATTTTTACTTCTTGTATGTGTAAAAACCTTCTCCCGTTTTCTTTCCCAATTTTCCTTCTGCAACCAATTTCTGTAAGATGTTGACGGGCGAAAACATCGGATTATTAGGATTTTTATTATACCAACCTAGAAATATATTTTTACACTTATTTTAAAGTATATTAATATTATTATTTCAAATTTAATTACAAAAAAAAAAACCACAAGAGTTATTTAACAAATAATTAGTATTTATAACAATCTACAGGTTGGTTAATAAAAGAAAGTTATTCATTACCGTCTAAAATATATTTAGTTGTATCTAAGCCGACATAATCCAATAATTCTAATGGTCCCATAGGATACCCTGCTCCCAATTTCATGGCTGTGTCTATGTCTTTGGCAGAAGCATCACCTCTTTCTAACATTCTAGCAGCCTCGGCCAAATAGGGAATCAAAAGTCTATTAACTACAAAACCTGGAGTGTCCTTGCAAGTAATGGTAGTTTTCCCAATTAGTTTTCCCCAAGCTAACAATTTTTGATATGTTTCTTCTGAAGTGTCATTTGTTCTCACTATTTCCAGTAATTTCATTACTGGCACTGGATTAAAAAAATGCAATCCTCCAAATTTATCTTTTCTCTTGGTCACGGAAGCAATATCGCTTATCGATAATGATGATGTGTTAGATGCAAAAATAGTGTGTTCCGGAGCTATAGAATCTATTGAAGAGAATAATCTGTGCTTGGCACTCAGATTCTCAACAATAGCTTCCACCACCAAATCTGTATTTGCTACTGTTTCTTCCAAATCAAGTGAAATTTTCAATCGACCCATTGATTCAGCTATATATTTTTCTGCTTCACTAGAATTATTCTGAAAAAGCTTCTTTGCTACTCTATGAATGCTGTTTTTTATATTTGCATTACATTTTTTTATGGTTTCTTCGTTTACTTCAATTATAGTTACATTGGTACCTGATTGAGCACTTACCTAAAAAGTATTAAATCACAGTGAGTAATGTATAATTCCATTTTTTTTTTTTTTTTTTTTTTTTAATTAAATGTAAAATCTTTTATAATTCATAATGAAGACTCACCAGTATTTTTGTTAATGTTTTTATGTAAAAAAAAAAAAAATATGACACTTATTAGTTTAATAGCACAAATAATAACACTTTTGTTTTTTTTTTTAACTATAAAATAGTTTTAAAAAAAAAAAATTATGTAACAGCAATAGTAATGATATAACATAACAAAATTTGACCAAATCAAAGAAATTGATTTGTATCTGTTATAACATTAAACAAATAAAAAAGTTAATGATGGAAAGTTTTTTTTTTTTTTTTTTTTTTAATAACCAAATTATTATAACAAAAATGGAATAGGAGGCATTCAAAATAAATAAGGGTGTTTAATTAAATAAAATTTTATGTCAAATTTAAGAATCTTTTAAAAGTTGTATACGCAGCCAAGTTGAAGAAAATTATCACGCGAGATAAGTATTAAAATAAAATTTGGGTTCAGGGAAAACTAAATTATTTTATTGTTATCAAATAATTTATTTTTACCAAATTTCCAACTCTCGCTTAAATTATTATTCGGTGTTTATTTATTTACAAATAAAAAGTTTGGATAACTTACTTGTGCGATTCCGGATCCCATAAGTCCTCCTCCAACAATTGTGACATGATTAAAAACGTTACTGCGATTAGAATGAGATGTATTTATAAATCTTTTAGCTGTACGAAAACAATTTGCCATTTTTATGTAATTAATAATTTTTCGACGGTAAATTTAAAAAAAAAAAAAAAAACGAAAAGTATAAAAAAACGAATAAATAATTTCAATTAATTTTTTTTTATCATTAAAAATCCATTAAATGTACATTTAGAATTTAACATATCCATATAAAAATAATTAATTAACCCATATAAAAAATTTTACGTGGCATTCGACTTTGGACAAAAAATTTTCTCTATGGTTTTTTTTTTTTATCTTGAAAATTCAAATGAACTTGTTTTGTAAAGTGGTTAAAAATTGAAGTAGAATGAACGTGATCGACATTTTGTATAATGGTGCATGTAATGAAAGGTGTCTTGGTAGAATGGTTGGTATTATTTATCATTTACATTTTACAGTTGAAACTTGTTTAGAAAATTTTCTCTCGTTTAAAATAAAATGCATTTGATAAAGAATCTTATTTTTATATTCATGGCGGTTTTATCGTTTTGATTTTTTATTTTTACATTGTTTTATTCTATGAGGCAAAAATAACCGAAATGAAATTGACTTAAAAGAAATTGCTGTAAAATATATATATTATTCATTAAAAAAATTTTATCTCATAAATATTTTGATTAGAATGTAATATTATTGAAAAATACTGTTATGAAAAGCCCACTGATGAAAAAGATATGTAATGTACTATGTAATTTATTATTTGTGAAATGTTATTGATGTAAAAATAAATAAGTAAATAAATACTGCATAGGTTTAATTAAATTACAATCTATATTTAAACAGTAATTTGTTACTAAGTTTAACAAAAAAAAAATATCATAAATAAGTAAGTTTGTTTTAAGATCTTTCTTATAAATTAAATTAACTTAATATTAATAATACATATATATATATATTAATATTTTTCAATATTTATTTTTATTAATAATTAATTAGTATAAATTTTAATTGAAAGAATTGTTCTTAAACTTAAAAAAGTTGTACTTAAAAAAAAAAAAAAAAATTCATTCCTAATTCATTAATTTATTAGTTTTTCTCTTTTTTAACATTTAAGGATAAATAAGGTTAATCTAAGTAATCAAAATCTGACAAAATTTGAAATTGTAAGTTGAATAATTTTTCTGATATAGCAAACTTATTTTTACACCAAGATTTTGTTATAGAAATGTTGTCTGTCCACTTATTGGCAGCATTTTTGATAATCTGAAATTTATATTTTTTATTATTTTGGGTTATTAAGATTTAGTCGGAAAACTGTTGCTACAAACAAATTATAGAAAACTTTGCAATGTAATTTTTATATTTTTTGAAATTTTGAATTTTTTTTTTTTGTTTTGTGACCATCTATTTAACTCACCGATATGTCATTGAGTAAACATTCTTTAGTTTTTGAATTGTATTTTTGACTTTTTTTTTGTTTCTCTTCTATTTCCTTTTTTATTTTTCTAAGTTTATTAACTTCTTGTAATGTATTTTTCCTGGTTTCTGAATTTTCTCTGTCTAATTTTTCATTTTTCAAAGTTTCCTTTAAATTGTTGAATTTTTCATTTATGATATTGTAATTTGAATTAAGTTCGTGTAGCTTTTTTGTTTTTGCTCTCTTGGCTGTGCTAGGATAAGCCCAATAATATATGGAGGTGCCTATTTTATCTGTGTCTACCAAACCTTCATCTACTAGTATTTGTAATATGTCTTTAACTGATTGTGTTATTATACCCTTTTCTTTAGGAGCCATTTTTTCTAATTCTTTCACTTGAAAAAAGTCTTTTTTTTCATAAAATAACTCTAGCAATCGAATTTTTTTTTCTTCTATGCTTAACCCTTTTCTTTTAGACATCTTCCTATAAATTATATATCACTATTATTAACAAAGTAATCAACAAATGAATAAAACAAAAATTGTATATATATATATTATAAAAATTTTAGAAGGGAGAAAAAATTGCTAAATTAATGCAGGAGCTGCTTAAAGATACGATTATAAAGTACTTTTATTAGTAATTTGAATATTGAAATACTAATTTGTTTTATTTTAGTGACCAAGCAATGAAACAATTTCTTTTACATTTGGATGAAACACTAGCATTGGGAAAAAAATTTATAATTCAGGATTTAGATGATACTCATTTGTTTATTTCATCCGATATATTATATATACTACAAACAAAAGTTGATGATTTAATTGATCAAATTAGTGCTCCGGTAACTGAAAAATAAATTTTAAAATGGTGGCCAAAATTTCAAGAGAATCAAGCAGACTCAAGGAAAATAATTCAAGGAGGATTCTCGATGAAGCTTCAAGAAAAAGAAGAGCTAGAAAAGCTGTTGAAGCTTTGGAGCAAGATAATTTTCATAATGATCCTCATGCCGACCTTGTTATGAGTAAAAAACTTCCCAAATTCAATGATAATTTGGATTTAAAAACACGTCGAAGAAGAAAAAGTAAAAGCTCAGAATATTACAGGCAAAGGTTGGCTTCGAAAATAATTTTTATTTGTCCACTATTCAAAAAGGAAAGTTTTTAATTTTATTCTGTAAATAAATTGTATTGTGTATTATTTTTAGGTATCGTAAAACTTTTCAGCAATTAGTCGAAGAAGAAAGTTATTCAAATTACGAAAAACCAAATTATATAACGGCACAAGCTCCTCCTTCTGAATTGCCAGAGAGACACTTTTGTGCTGTTTGCGGTTTTCCTAGCAACTACACATGCATTCCTTGTGGTGCCCGGTATTGCTGTGTTCTTTGTTTAGGAACACATTTAGATACTAGATGTTTAAAATGGACTGCTTAGCTTAGTTTTGCTAAATAAAAATAAAATGGCTAATTTTCTTTTTTTTTTTTTTTTATCTTTTAAGTTATAAATTAAAATCCTTTATTTTTACCCGCCAAAAACTGAAGAAACGCCAAATTTAAGTAAGATTCATGTATAGTATCGTGAGTTCATGTTGGCAACATTGTGCTTTACAAAACATCGTTATAATTTCATTTTATATCTGATATTTATAAAAATTGATTAATTTTTGTTAACTGTGTTCGGTAAAGTGCATAAATTTATTTGAAAAAGTATTTTACACCAAAATTTAAAATTATTAGGTAAGAAATGATTTTACATTTATAAAATGGTATCATCAGATACAGCTCAATCTTGCTTTTCACAGTAATGTTTTTCACCTTACGAAAATTAATTTACCAATTTTTTTGATTACATTTATTTCAATTTATAATTAAATTTTCAACAAAGAAAAATATGAAAGAATACATTTAAGAAAATTTTACCATGTCGATTAAAAATTAGAAATAACTTATTATTTATCTTACTTTTAAATTTTAATCATTTTTGATTACCTTATATTAATGCTTTGCAATAATGAATTTTTTATAATAAAAGTCATATATATTTTAGTTGACATTGTATTATATGGTTTAGAAAACCATGATAGATCAACAATTTTTTAAAACGCAATAATTCAAAATGATTTTTAAGAGTCAACAATCATGTTTCTAATTGAAATTTATTACTTTTGTGAAAAACATTGAAACCTGTCTTAATAATTTAATGTTTCTGCATTTGTTGTTGAAAATTAAATGTACAAAATTTTTAAAAGGTTTTATTCGTCACAAACATGTACTAGGCGTTTTTGTAACTAAATTATAAAAAATGTCAAAAAAAAAAAAAAAAAAAAACAAATTTTTATTGTTGTTATTATTATTAAGATCACTACCATGTGGTCTATACTTACTAGTTACTATAATGGTCTGTGTTGTCTATGATCTGGTTATATCTTTTTTATAAAAACTTTCATTCGCAAATGATATAAAATATATATATATAATTGGGATTTATATTTTAATTTGTATTTATTCAAATAATTTTTTTTTTAAGGTGATTGACCAAGTCTATTGTTCTCTTCTGTTGCAAATGATGGTTTAATTAACTTGTGATTTTTACAAAAAAAAAAAAAACATATAAAATGCCTTTGTTAAATAAAAAACCGCTAGAACTACACCGGTACAACAAGAGATTAAAAGATGATGCAGAAGTTTTTTTTTGCAAATGTACTAATGAAATATTTGAAAATTATGAAGAGTACTGTCAGAGGGTAATCTCTTGTAATTCTTTAATTTGGACTTGTGCTATTACAGGAAAAACCAATTTGACTTATCAGGAAGCTTTGTCGTCAGAGCAAAATGCTTTGAAGTCGATTAAAGATTTCCCATTGGAACTCAGGACTCCTATTTTATTTTTAGCTTCTAAAACCAAACGGAAAAATTTTAATGATTTAGTTAATGATGTGTTTAATTTTGCCAAAGATCGTTATTTCCTTGGAGAATCAGTGGAAGTTTACATTAATGATAATTGGGTTTTTGGACACATTTTACAAGTTTTATTGCCGTCCGCAGATGAAGTAAATGAATACCGTGAAAAAAATAATATTTACGGATCGATTAACAATCGTCCTTATCCCGGTTGCTTGTACAAATATAAAGTAGAACAATTAGAAAACGACGAAGATTCCTGTGCTTCGAAAATTCAAGTATTACCCGGTGATAAAGTCCGACGAATCAAAGGCGTTTACACCAAAGAAAAAAATCGTATTTATTTGAAACAGTTTGCGATTTTCAAAAAAAATAAATGGCGAATTCAAAACAACGTTTTAGCCACTTACAGCATACCTGGAATTTTGTTTTCTAATATGTTTGTTGGAGAGCTTCCTTCATTTGATGGATTCTCCTCTGAAAATTCTAAATTCTCTCAACAGCGAACTATTGACATGTATTTAAACAAAAAAACGGAAAAAAATAAAGTAAAAAGCGTAGAATCATCCAGGAAAACGTTACTTAAAAAAACAGATAATGTTAAAAGGGTGTCTGAAAGTGTGAAAGTTATACATAAAAAGTATCAGGAAACAATTAATAAAGTGGTGGAACAAACTAAGAGGGATTTAATTAAGCAAAAATCTTTAGAAGACAAAGCAAAAAAATTGGAAGAAATTAAAAAAAAGAGAGCTCAAGAAAAAGAGGAAAAAGCTAAATTGGCAAGTTTTGCCAAAGAATGGCAAAGAAAAAGAGAAGATTTAGAGTGTGAAGATTTAAAAAATTTGCCTGTTCCTTGTCCCGTCAATTGCAGGGTGCCCAATGAACTTTTCGGTGATGTTGTTATGATATTGGAATTTTTTTCTAGCTTTAGAGAATTACTAAAAGTGAAAGATTATTTTCCTTTTGGATTAAAGTTAGAAACCGTAGAACGAGCTTTGGTCGATATAGAAATAGCAGGGCCTTTACCCGACATTATTCAACTTTTGCTCTCGACTTTGTTCAATCTTCAAGAGCAAGAAGACGATGAAGTTCAAAGCACCGATTATCACCGTGCGGGAGACTTGGAAATAGATGAAAGTGGAGATATTTCTACCGCTGAAGCTATAAAATCCGCTACTTTTGCTGCAAGCTGGAGCAAAATGCATCATGGAGTTCCATTGAACAAGTTGTCGTTGGATGCGATTACAGTTTCTGAAATTCTTCGTCTTCATTTATTAGCTTCGGGAGGTAGAGCAGGAGACCGCAATGCAAAATGGAGGTATCAGGAACGAGGAGGATATACTAATACCGATGATCCCTGTCTCATGCTGAGATTGAAAGATCCTCACATTCTCAGGTCTTTGGCCATTAAGAGTGTTGTAGAATTGTCAATCGGAGATAAAATTAAAATTTTGTCCTGCTTGATGAATCAAATTCTTACGTACGCCGAAATAAGGGATATAATTGAAGAACGATATGATAAAGTTAAAACTAGCAAAAATGAATTAAAAAATGATCAAGTAGCAGAATCGAAGAAAGAGAAAGAAATAACAGCACAAAAGTTAAAAGAAAAAAAAGAAGCCAGAGAAAGAGGTGAAAATTTACCCGATCAATCTGAGGAACTCAAGTTAAAAGAATTAAAAGAATCAAATAAGAAAAAGGCTGAATTCCACAAAAGAGCAATGGAATTGCGTAAGGTTGCAATGGAGAGTCAAATCGTTCCCTTGGGTCAAGATAGGAGTTACAGAAAATTTTGGATATTTTCTACTTTAGGAGGTTTATTTATTGAAGATAATGAAGAGTGGCCCGGATCATGTTTGTCCACTCCCACTCCAATTAGTAAAAATTTTGTTCTTTTGGAAGAGGACACAATGACGTACATTAAAAAATTGTTTGAAGAAGAACGTAATTGGGGAAGTGATAAAGAGAACGAAGTAAATTCTAGTCTACCCATGGGAACCCAAAAAAAAAAGCTGTTGAGTGAATCTAATAATGTTAATTCTAATTCTGTTTATTCAACGGAAGAAGGAGAAAATGAAAGTAATAATGAAAAACTCATGAGTTGGGTTTGTACGGGAAATGAAGAAACGTGTAACGTGCATTCCAAAACGAATAATCGAACACAATGGTTGTTTTATCACAAGGAAAACGAAATCGAAGAATTAATTAATTCCCTGAACAAAAGAGGATATAGAGAACATAGATTAAGGAAAGCCTTAATAGAAAACAAGGATAATATAATACCAAGGTTAAATCACTGTCCAGTTCATTTGTTAAATCGTTTTGCATTGGATTCATATGTGTCTTCGGGTCCCGTCAAATCAACGAGAAGTCATAAAGGTTACGAAAACGCCAATTTAAAATATCCTGCAGGAACTCCAGTTCAAGAAATTTTGGAGCTTTATATACGCGAGCTCATTCTCGATACGGAGGAGAAAATTTATTGCGGTGGTTTGGGGTGTTTAAAAGTGAAAAATCGAAATATTTGGAGAAATGCTATTGAAAACAGAAGCTATGAGAAACAAGACGATAATTTATCTTGGAGACAATACCCTATAAAAAAAGAAAAAATAATGGATAAAATAAAAGACGATGATGGTGCTCGACCGGACACGCCTTGTTCATTAGATTGCAATTCTGAAACGGAAATGCTAGAATTGAAAATGGATCAAAATTCCGTGGTCAATGATTTAGCAAGTGCTGTCTTACAAATTGCAAGATCAGTAGAGCCAAGATATTTACAAAAACCGTTGTCAAACGATGAAAAAAAAAAGGAAAAAATGACAGCAATGGAAAGATGGGAAGCATCTTTGATGTCTTCAACGAGTTTTGCTCAAGTTTATTTGCATGTAGCCACACTTGAAAACAGTATTCAATGGAACAAATCTGCTTTGAATGCAAGGTGCAAGGTTTGTCGAAGAGGAGGAGATGGAGAAAACATGTTATTGTGCGACAGTTGCGACAGAGGTTTTCATTTGTATTGTTTGAAGCCAAAATTATCAAGTGTTCCTCTCGGTGATTGGTTTTGCTCAGGATGTAGACCTCCAGAGAAAGTTGAAAAAACTAAAAGGTCAAGAAGACTTTTTTCAGAAGAATCAGATGACGATGAAGATGATCAACCTCTTGTAAGTTCAAAAATTTCTAGGAAAATCAAATCGGAAGATGTATCTAGAAAAAGAAAATATAAAAAATCAGAAGAATCTGGAGATTCAGGTGATGAGCCCTTATCCAAGATTGCCAAATCTTACAAAAAAATTATACAAAAAAAAGAAACTGATTAAATTTAATTATTTTTTTATCTTCTTCTAATATTGTACAATTTTGAAATAAAATTTTTTCTAGAAAAAAAAAAAAAATTTACACTTCAAAAAAAATAAATTTTACTTATGATACATCCAGGTACACAGACATTACCATACACATTAGTTTATATTTTGAAAATACAGAAATAAAACTAATTTTTTTTCATTAATACTAATACAATTAGTGATAATACTAACTTTATGTATACAAAATAAATAAAATTTATCGCGCTTAAAAAAAAACGTTTTTTTGGATCTTTTTAACTGGTTAACAATCAATCGAAGAAAATTGCACTGTTTTGCCTTTCCAAGTCTCTAATTTCCATTATATCCGTTTTTAACTTTAATTTAATAATTTCCCTCCAAATTTCCGTTCTATGCATAGAATTATCCACTCCAATTCTGGTCAGTGTATTTTCTGTTATCCTAATAAGAGTTCGTCCCGTTATTTCGTGTTGTACAAAATTATCTAAGTAAAGATAGCAAAAATCACTACAGTGTCGTTTCAACCATTTTTGAACGTCTATGACAGACCAAAGGTAAATGGGTTTGGGTCTTGCAGCTTTTGACTAAAATAATAAAAATTAAAATTTTTATAGTTTAAAAAAATAAAAATCTACAATATTAAATAATTATCGAAAAACAGTATTAAAAAAAAAAAAACAACATACTTTAATTGGTTTAACACCCGTATTAAAATTGTCTTCAACCATTATTTCTAACTTAAGAAAACAAAACAAAAAAAAAAAACGTGTCACTAGCAAGTATTTTCATAGAATAAAATATTTTTGACAAGCGGTATTTCTTCTTGCACGGGTTACACGACAAAGTGATTTTGATACTAATTTTGCAGTTATAAAAAAAAAGGAAAAGGAAAAGAAAAAGAAAAAAAAGGTAAGAATTTTATATGTATTCATATATAAATATATATACGTGTATATATATATATTTTTTGTTTTTTTTACAAACATTATTAAAGTAAATAAGTAAAAGACAATTTGCCAAAGTCTCAACACATTTACAATGGGCAACAGAATGCTTTGCATAAAAAGCATTTATCTATATATTAAAACTACATATAATTAAAAACGTGTTTTACCTAATAATAAATTAAAATTCTAACCCTGAGTTTTATTTTTATTTTATATACACTCAAACAATAAATAATTCTTTGAGTAAGTAACCAAGCATTAAAAAAAAAAAGAAAATTTTTTTTCTTTTTAAATATTTACAATAAATTGCACTGCAAATTGCACCCATTTACGTACAAGACTACGGTTGGTCATCTTGGCTAATTTTTTTAATCACAGAAACTTATTATCATTAATCTATAATAACTTTTTCGGCATTCATTAGTCTACGAATATTATCGTCGTAACATATTAATATTATTTTGGATGATTTAACCGATATTTTTTCGAAATTTAACAAATTACAACATTTTCCAAATTCGTTAAATTCAGAAAGCTTCATTTCTAGGACGGAGGGAGATTTCAACTGTTTCAACAGGGCATCTTTAGATTTTGCTTTGGTATACGAAAGAAGATCTTTCATTAAAATCCACCGTCGATCGGAATCACGATCCGTCGAGATCTGATAAAGAGGAGGAAGCATAGAATTGCTCACTTCTAATTCGCAATCGGAAATAGAGGTGCTCGGTGATGGAGGCTCACTCAGAGGATCATAACCATTTACAACAGGATCTGAAAATTAAAGGTAGTTAAAAAAAAAATATGACATACTTACTCTGAATTTTAAAATAATTAAAAACAATTAATTTTAATATTTGCATACCGAACAGTGAAGAGGGACCCTGAAATGTCCAAACTGGCGCAACATTACCCTGAACATCCGCCAAATGATGCTGGATAAGACTGCTGGCTTCGTCGTCGGTAACAAGAGATAATGCCGTGTGACCTGTATACGTTTCAAGAAGAGGATCAGCTCCAAATGATAAAAGCAACCGAATTAGTTCAGTATAACCATTTTCGGCAGCTTCGTGTAAAGGTCTGTAATGAAAATATTAATTTAAACTCATTAGAATATTGGAAAATCATATATTTTAATGAATCGCGACTAAAAACATAAAAAATTTCGCTTTATATATAGTTAGGTGTGCGCGTATGTTAAAGCATGAGGGAGGGAGGGAGGGGGGAAACAAAAAAAACTTAATTATTACCTGACTCCTCCTTTGGCGCTTTCGCTTACGCTTGCCCCATACATAAGCAAAAGTTTAGCTATTTCGAGATGACCTCGAGAACAGGCTTCATGTAGAGGAGTGTAACCGGCATTGTCTCTCGGACTGGGAGAACAATCCATTTTTTCGAGGCAATAAGCCGCAATATCTGTATAACCTAATCTTGCAGCCCTGTGTAAAACCGTTTCGCCCAACCCCTTGTTTATGACCCAATTTTTAATTTCATTTTGTATGTCTTCTACGCTCTCTGAAACCGGTTTCCCCGTCATTTTTTTTTCTTTAATACTACTACTTCCTTCGACCGATTCACCATCTTTTTTTAATTTTTTTTTCTTTCGAATATAATCAAAACCTGAACGAAATTTTCTTCTCACCGATCTAAGTTTTAAACGTTTTTTAACTATTGGAAATTGATTTATCGCATCCGAAGAATTCACCAAATATGATAATTTTTTAGATGCCATCGCACGCACTCTCAAAAGCTCCATATTTCTTTTCCTCCCACAATTCAAATGCCTTTTTGACATTTGTACTGCTTTATTGCTTCTATGCATTGCTGTGCTTCGTAAACCGGGTCTTCCACTACGAATAGGTTTTCCTCTACCTCTTGTGATCACGCCCGCGCTAACCTTTTTCACAGATTTTGATTTATTTTTATCTGTAACTTTTTCTCCTTTAACGACACTCGTTTTGATATTTTCTTCGGTGATTAAAGGCGGTGCCGATGCCGGACGATCTTCTCCAAAAATTTCAATCAAATTTGATCTTTTGTTTAAATCTCGAATTCTCGATCTAGTTAGTAAATTTGTATTTTTCGAATTGTAATCACGGGAAACGTGTTTATCATTGTCTCCTAATGAAAATGTTTGTTTACCGTTATTCGGTGAATTTTTCCTGTGATAACCGCGAGTCATTGAATCTATATCTTCGGATTTTTTTTGCATTGTTCCTTCCCTTGTCCTTTTTTTATTATTCAAAACATTTTCTTTACCTAAACTTATTCCCGATGAGGAGAAAATTTCCGTTTTATTAGATTTCGAAGGTAAAATCTCAGGTTTCAAGTCTTTTTGAATTTTTTCACTTGATTTTCCATATCTATTAATAAGCATATTTAATATTGAATTTGATTGCGACGGTTTAGAATTGGTAAATTTTAATAGGGATTTATTTTTATCAGAATTGAAAAAAGAATCGTTTGATTTTTCTAATTTTTCTTTTTCATTATTTTCTTTATTATTTTTACAATCCTCTTCAACGATATCAAGAGTTTTTTTATTGAGTCTTTCGGATGAATTCAAAGTCGAAGAAGAGGTTTTATAAGGATCTAAATCTGGTAGGGATGCAGAAGATCTTTTAGGCGGCCGTGATATGCATATTAATTTTTCAGGCATTCTTAACTGTTGTTTAAATTTATAACATTCTTCTTCCCATCCGGGACGAAAATCTGAACCGTCACCAAATGAGGGTTTTTTCTTACTTCCCAAATTGAAATATTTTTCCTTTCTTTTACTTTTTCTTTTTATGGATTTAAGAGAGGGCGAAGGAAGAGGTTTAGCTTTCGATCTTAAACGCATACCCGTTGTTTTAACTTGCTTTTCTTTGGTACTTCTCGTTTGGAGTCGCGTTTGAATTTTTCCCTTTGATAATTTTTGCCGTTCCCTTTCTTTATGATTTCTTTCATAATTGGAACTATTACTACTTTCTGAATCGCTGCTTTCACTTTCTAAACTACTAAATGATAAAGACTCATCGTCATCATCATCATCATCAAAATACGAGGATTCCGATTCCGTTTTTGTAAAGCTACTCTCCGACTCATCCAAATCTGATGATATTTCTACATTCGTGTCTATAGCTTTTAATTTCCGTTTCGCTTTAATTTTACTTTCCGATATTTTTTTCCTTTTGTTAAAACGAATTTTCTCTTTATCACTTTCATCACTTTTCTCTTTTTCTTCATTTTCGTTAAACTTATTCATTACATTAATCCCTGATTTCTTGCATTCTGTTTCAATATCCGATTTTTCTTCGTTTGTTTTACTTGATTGTGATTCGTTTTGACAATTTTCATTCGATTCCGTTTTTCGTTCCGTTTCGTCAAACTGAAATGAATTTTCTTTCTCAAGAGTATCATTTTCCATAAATTGTTCTCGTGAATTTGAGTCTGAAGTCGAAGAGGATTCATCACGAGTTTTCTTTTTTCTGGGGTATTTTTTCGGAGGACGCTTTTCCAATTGTTCTACAAATCTATCGAAATTCGCGTCCCACAAAAGATCGGTATTACTTTGGCTAAGCTCAACGACTATTTCAGGCTGAGGAACATCCACCGAATCATCCGTCAAATTACTAGAAACATTCTGTTTCGATCCATGTATTTTTCTATCCCTTCTCATTCCTTCAAGGGTTTGCTTTTCCAATACGGGCATTTCATTTTCCGAATCAGAATCTCTGAAATCGAAAATAGAAGGTTCCGAAGAGCTAGTGATGACTCCATTAGGATTTTTATTAGTCCATAAAGAATGATTTTTTATATGATCTGAAGTTGTTGGCATTTCATCTTTGGTATATATGCACGAATAATTTCTTATATAATTTGTGGGTCCACATTCTCCGGAAGACTTTATTACGTTTCCTTTATTAGACGAAGAAGTCGCGGAACAGGAAGATTCTTCTTTTAAATAATCTAATAAACAAATTTAATAATTATAAATTATAAATTTCATTCAAAACGAAAAATTTTTTTAAATGTAATAAAAAAATATGCTTGCTTACCTTTTTCAGAATTTAAGAATTTCAAATGATTTTTCTCATCTTCGTTTGTTGATATTTTTCCAGATTGAAATACAGGACCGACTTGCTTCAGTTCTCCCTTTGTTCTTATACGTGCAGCAAGAAAAGCGGCCAAACCATCCAAGTCGGTTGGTGGACCCTGGGCAACGTCCTGAGGACCAGGATCAATCAAGGGAATTCCACTTTTTCCCACTTCGTGTTTCAATGTCGGATTGTAATATTTTTGAATGGGTTTTATATCCTCCTTCACGGGCACATGAGAGGTGAGTAAATTAAAGCTTTGATTCGAAGGTAATGACACTTGCATTTTATCAGATGCAAGCGATTCAAAGGATGGAAGACTTTGCTTGCATTGATTTACTTCTATATTATTATTATTACTATTAGGTTTGAAAAATTTCAAAACAGGTTTCTTATAAATTCCCGCATTTAAAATTTCTTTTCTTTTTTCCCGGTTTCTAGCAACTTCTTTCAGCTGCATGAGTTTTGCTTCTTTCTCTTCTAAGCTAGACTTTAATATACTGAATACATTTTTATCCTGAAGAAGTTTGTAATCTGGCATAACACCATTACTAATTTGCCTTATAATTTGTTCGGCATCTGGCGAATGAGCTACTTTTACCAAATTCTCAACTTTTGCTTGAGGAGCTTGAGGTGTTGCCAAATGACACTCAGGTTGTTGCACATATGCCGGATTGTAGGGAGTTTTAGATGTTTGGTCGGGAGTTTGAAGGTATGTGTTTCCATTAAGTGGATGACTGATACCGTTTGAATGTTTTTGTCTATAACACGTAACACTTTTACTCACAACATCTAAATTTTGAGTACTTTCTTGAGCATTTTTAATCGAATTTAATTTTTGTTCCGTCGGCTTAGTATAAGGTGATGTCCAAGAATTCACTTTTGGTATTTTTGCCATAAAAGATTGGCCGTGTATAGTTTCGTAAGGGAAAAGTTTATCACTTTCGTCAATTTTTTTTTCATCTATATAATTTTTTATCGTAGTACGATCGGGAACCACCATTCGGGAACTAGAAGTTTTCTTCGACGATGAAATTAATATTGGAGAACAAAACTCTTCTCTGCATTCTTTTGTTCTTTTATGAATTTCTTTAAAGCTATCACCGAGACCATTATTTTCAAATTTAGGTTGTTGTGTAATATTGGGAAAAAATTTTTCTCCATTTAAACCCGCAAAATTAGGATTGAAATCTATTTTCGGAGCTCCTAGGGACACGTCGTTCGAGTGAATGTTAGAAAATTGTGTTTCAGAATAAATGGGTTCTTTTCCATAAAATGAATGTTGAATTTTTCGATGATGAATTTCCCTATCGTCTTTCGCTGTAGAATCAGCCGATTGCCTTATGGTTTTCACTGATAAATCTAACGGAGATTCTTTTTTTATACGAGAGTTTTCATTCACTGGTTGTATACACGTTGAATTTTCCTCGACTGATGATATTAAAGGTTTAATTTTTTGTAAATGATGAGTAAATTTAGAATTAATGCTTGTTTCTTTCTCTCTACCAACATTTTCAGATATACATTTGACATTATCTTGTTCGAAGGTTTGCAAGGCCAAAGAATTTCGATTCATAGAGACCAGTTCATTTTTTTCTGAATATATTGGCTGAACAAATGATTTCATGTTATGGCCAACATTTAATTCTGAATTTGATGTTTTACTTTGATCGGTCACGATTTGCCTCGAATATTTCATTTTGTTTTCTTTAATATCCGATGTCATTCTTAAATCTTTTTGATTTTTGTTCATTAATGATTTGTTATACGTTATGCCATGATCAATGCCATTTTCGTTAACAGATTTAATTGAAGAAAATAAATTTTGTCCAACAGAAGTACTCATCAAATGATTTTGATTAACATTTTTATCCAATGTCAAATTTTTAGAATTTGTAATTACAGAAGATTCACAATAAATTTTAGGTTTATTTAGTTCATGAGTATTTAAATAGTACGATTGAGTTTCATCAGGTATTGTTTGAGAAGAACCACTTTGAACTTTTCCCATATAAAAATGATTCCTCTCGGAAAGTGATTCTTCTTTACATTGTTTTTTCTCAGCACTACCGTTGCACAAATGTTTATTTTTATCGACATTTTCATAAGGGATCGAACCGATTTCACTATTTGAAAAATTGACTTGCACCATGTTATTTTCCGGAAACTTTTTACGGTAAGAGTGTAACGAATAATTTTCAACGTGGTTTTTATTAACGATTTGATATTTTTTCCCATAATTGCTTTCATGTTTTCTTTCGGAATTTACATTCGGATGTATTTTTCCAATAAATTCGTTTTGTTTTATCGAGTTTAAGTGTGTGATTTGTGAATTATGTTGTTCTTTTATCGATTCTGGGTTATTTAAAGACTCATCAAGTGATCCAGTCATGAAATTGGATTTTCTTAAATTCATTTCTCTAAATATTTTACTTTCTCCTCTTTCAGCATAAAAATCATCTGAAAGTTTCGTATCCTTTTTTAAAATTTCGTTTTGGCAATTTGAAGAATTATTACATTCCGCATTGCAATGTTTGACGTATAATTTATTATTAAAATTAGTTTTTGTTCGTTTCAAAATATTAGAATCGAATTTCTCAGGTAAATTTTTTTGATGAGGTATAAAATGTTCATCTGATTTTCCCGGTAAATTTCGAACGGATTTTGTTTCTGAAGGAAAACATTCCTTATTTGCCGAACAAGTACCTGTAAACTCTTGATCCTCTTTTAAATTGTGAAAATATTGAGATGATGATAACGACTTGGACGAAGACAAATCGTAAATATTTTGTGTGGTTAATTGTTTTTTCGTATTTTCATGTGCTAATGTGAAATGCGGTTTTAATGGAGTTTGAGTAAATTTAAAATTATGATATGATTGATTTTTTTGATTATTCGGTTCCGAAAATTCTCGTATAAAACCCGATCGACTACCTTTAGAATCGATGCTTTGAATTTGTGACACATTCGTCGCCATTTCACTGACGTTTGTCGTTGACATTTTTTTATGATTCGAAACACATGATAAAGTCGAACCGATATGCGGGGAAGAAACATACACGTTATTAACAGGAGATTCGGGTGTACGAAAGGAAGAAGTGGGACAGGAATCGGGGATTAGCATGGGCATTTTCATTAATGATGACACTGAATTTTTTGAAATTTCAATTGGCGAGGAACATTCGATACGATTTCCAGTTGCATTCATAATTTCGGTTGTAAAACGCGGTAAATTAGATGAAAAATTTCCCGATAAACGTGAGCGGGAACCATTATCTTGATCCGAATGGCCTCGTAATTTACTTGTTGTTTGAAGGTCGACGCTAACGGTCGTAGATCCTTGAGAAACATGAGGTGAAGAAAGTTTTTGATATTCTGAAGTTTCCGGTATTAAATACTCCAGTTTATCATCTTTGGTCTTTTCGTGTGACGAAGAATGTGAAGAAATTTTTAATACTTCATCAGCATTACATCGGGATGAACTTTTATTGGACGAGTTTTGAGGGTCCGAACTTGCCTCAAATGATTTTATCTCTCCCGTTCTTTCTTCGTAATAATTATTTGGTTTTGTTTCCTCCAAACATATTTCCGATGAACTAATTAAATTTTCTGAATAATATTTACCAGTTTCTTTAATACTTTTACAACCGCGAGAAGCCGTCATGCCAGGTATCGGTGGGAAATTGAGAAGTACAGTTTTGTTCGTCACATCCTGACGAAAATTACCAACACATTCATTGTGATTTAAAAACGTTTTTTTACGAGATGGTAAATATTGATTATCACTTAAACATTTTAATTCGATAGAATTTGAAAAGCTATCTGCGTTGGAAGGTTCCATTGGAAGATCGTTAGTTTTTGTTTTATTTGAAGTTGTTGAAGTTATAGATATGGGAGACCAAATAGGAGCTGTTGTATTAGTCACTGTTTTAAAACCTTTTGAATCGACGAAAACATTGTTGCTGCAAACACTTGCTGATGATGGCACAAAAGTTCCGCCAACAGAAGAAAATAAATTTTTTGAATCTTGTTTAAAACTTTCCATAGTATTTGAAGAGTAGATAGTTTTTACCTGAAAAAAAATTTAAAATATATTATTTAAAAATCTTAACGTACAAAAGAATTAAGAATACAGAAAATTAAAAGGAGAATATCTCTTACCAGTTTTTTCCAATCAAAATCAACATATCAGTATATTTCGATTAATAAAGTTAAAAATTATTTTAACTTTTTTTAATTCCCTAAAAAAAAAAAAAGAGAGAGAGAATACGATAGAGAAATAAAAAACAAAAAAAAAAAATTTATCAATATTAATTTTGTTTTAATTAATTTTGATAATTGCATTAATTTAAAAATATTAACTTACAGAATCATATTAATTATGACAGGTTAATTTTTTCGGACGACATCTTTAAAAAAAATTTTTTTTTTTTTTGGTGCTTGAATTGTTTGGTTTACACATTTTTTTTTAAAAAAAAAAAAAAAAAGAAAAATTCCACGTGATTTTCAGGTTATGAAATTTTTTACTTTCATTTAATCCGAAGAACACCTAAAATAAAAATTAAAAAAATTAAAAATCGAATTAAAATAAAATTTTGGTCTCTTTAATATACGATCATCAGTCAATTAATGTGACCAAAAAAAATTAATTTATTACATAAATTTGTTTTTTAAATTTTATTTGCTAGTCCGATGAAATATACAATTTTTGTAAGAATTTTACTTTTTTTCCAATTCATTACCGCGAATAAAATAAAATCGATATAAATAAAGTTTTAAAAATTTTATAATGTTATTATTAATTTGTATAATGTCGCTAAGCCGGTAAAAAGGGAAAAAATTTTTAATAAGTAATATTTCGTATTTACAGGAAGTAATAATGAATACAATTGTACTTTTATCATTCAAAATAATTGTAAATTGTTTTGTATTTAAACTTTTATACTATATGTAATTTTGTATACCAAAATTTTTCTTATTTTATTTTTCACCTTATTTATTAAATAAGTTAAATAAATTAAATAAGCTAAATCTGATAAATCGATGTTTGATGTATACTTCAAATGTGACATTCATTATACTAATATTTATAAATATTTTTTTATTTTACAGCTAATAATTTGGTATCCAGATGATTTCGATAAGTTCCTGATGGACTACTTCATCATAAAACCTCGGCCTAAGTAAACCTTTAGGTAAGTTTATTATTATATATTTTTACTTTAATCATAATTAATAATAATAATTACCAAAATAATAACCTAAAGAAAAAGTCTTTCATTCCAAAGAGCCACCTAATTATCTCATACAATATAAAAAAATATATATATTTCTGAATAAAATAATTTATCAATATTATTATTATTTTTGTTTTTGGTAAAATAATAATAAATTATAAAAACTAGTTTTATCAAATACTTAAAATTAATAATTACAAGAAATTTATAAACAGTTTTTTTTTTTTTTTTTTAACTTATAAAAATAAGAAAGTTTTTATAATTAATAACATGAAATTTTTATTTTTATTTTTTTTCAATCAATCAATAACACGAAATGATTTTGACTTTAATGTAAAAAAAATTTTATTTTCCCTACTAATGAATCGCTAGGATATATAATTTTAACATTAATATTGAATATTTTCTGATAAGAGAAAATTTTAAAAGACTTTTCAGTCTAATCACTAACGCTCAAACCTCTAGTATTTTCCGTTATAAAACTATCGTTTAAATATTATATTATTAAAAAAAAAAAATTGACGTTTTTAACGTCAAAAAACGATGGAAATAAATATAATAAGTTAAGATAAATAAATTTACAGGAGAGGAAAAAAAAAAAAAAAAAACTTGCACTAAAATAGTACCGCCATTAAATATGAGGTAGACGGTGAAAGTGAGCCATAATTAAGGTGTGACGGTAAACGGATATTCTCGTAACGGGACTTTTCTTTTAATACCGTCATTTTAACTTTTTGCATACAGTTACTTTTTTTTTATAGAAAAATTAAATACAATATTTAATTACTTAAATTTTAAATTTAGGTAAAAAAAAAAAAAAAACAAACAAATAAATAAATAATATATATATATAGGTAGATAAAAAGAAAAAGAAAGAGAGAAAACATCATTAAAAAAAAAAAACTTTTTTTACTTTTACAATCGAGAATTATATATATATATATACATCCATCTTTTATTTACAAAGGTAAATAAGAGTTTGTTAATATTAAAACCCTAAACAGTACAGATTATTAATTGTTTGTTTAAGTAATTCAATGTAGTGATCTCAATGTTTTTTCTTAAACAACCAAAAAAAAAAAAAAATTATAAATTTAATTTTATACAAACTACCTTTATCTCGGTTATTTAACATTAAATTAATTTTATTTTTACACGAAAAAAAAACTCGGTATATTTTTTTAGATAGTAAAGTAGGAAAGAGAACAAAAATAAATAGGTATTGGAAAAAATTAAATTTCAATTTGAAAAAAGTGACGTTCTTAATTTTTTGTTTACAGTTGCAAAAAAAAATTTTAATAGTTTAATTAATAATGATTATTTTTATTTATTAATATTAAATCAATTTATGTTCGACTGTTATTGTTTTTCTGATTAAGTTATATAATGCTGAGTAAAAGGGGGAACGTTTTGGAACTGAATCGAAAAATTTTATTTAAAAAAAAAAAAAAAAATTGTTTTTTTAAGCAAAATTTCTTAAATTTTTTAAATATTTATCTCTTTAAGATTAACTGTACTCTATCACATATTCATCAACATCTTATTAAATTCAATCAATTTTTTTTAAATACATTTTTTTATATGAAAAACAGAAAGAAAAAAAAATTATATAAAACAATTAGTGTAATACCGAAGAAGAAAACTATTCAAAATAATAATAATTAGTTATTGTCCAAAAAAAAAAGATAAATCGTTAAGGTAGAATACAACCCTTTCCAGGACACAAGATTCTTCCCTATGATAAGCACGTATTGTAGGAACATGAAAAAAACCAAAGAATAATCGTGTGTGTGTATTTAAACCCACAACTAGATATCTTAATTCCAATGTTGCCGCATTGCTTTACGCTTTCGATTCGATCAAACCCTATTTGGGTGGAATCTAAAAATCTCCAAGTTCCGCGTGCTTTGTCCCTCCCTATCAACAATTTTCTTTTCTTTTTTTTTTTTTTGGTGGCTCTTTTTCCAGGCATAAGCTTAAAAATATCGGTAATTGTTGTCATAATCTAATCATAGAAAGTAATTTTGATTTCTTATTTTATAATTATTTGACATAATTACTATATAATTCAAATAAATAAAACCCTCCCCCCTACAACATTCATCATAAATTATAATAAATATGTTTTCCCATTTATTTGGACATAACATATTCAGTAATTAAAATAAAATAAAAAAAGTTTGAATTTATCAAATAAAGTTGTATTTTAATAATTTAATTTAAATTTGAATTTAAAAACTCAAGATTGATTTTTTTTTGTAAAAGAAAATAATTATCCATTATACACTATCAAAATAAATTTTTTTAAATATTAAGTTAGCTTTATTAAAAATAATTATTTATTCTTTTTTTTTTTTTTCAATTTAAATTTTTACTTTTAGGTGAGATTTTCACATTTATGAAAAATTATATTTATATCAAACAAAATAATTAATAATGACTTATACCAATTAAATATTAATATTACAATAGACTACATATAAAAATTATTACTTTGATACAAAAAGTAAAGCGATAATTTTTAATAGAAAAATAAATTTACCAAACTGAAAAATATTTCAAAGAAATACATAACTTTTCTTATTTATCATATTTTTTAATAATAGAAATTTTGAAATATTAATAATTTAGAATATATTATGTGAATTAAATTTGTTAATGTTTTAGTAAATAATTGCATTTATTTATTAAGTACTTAGAAAAAACAATTATTTGTTAAAATAATTGAAATAAAAACCTCTTGTCATTGACATTACTAAAAAGTTAAACAACAACAACACATGTATCTTTTTACATTTACTTTGCCATAAATTATTATAATGGTTTTCAAATGTGTAGTATAAATCGTAGTTGGAGATTTTAAAAAAAAAAGGTTAATTATTATCATATTTATATGATAAAAATGAATACCTTACTACTACTTATATGATAACATTTAATAATTTACTATTCAAAATTATTGGTTATTTGAAAATTATTCCTATAACAAAAAAACGAATTTTTTTGTTGGTACATTTTACCCAATTTTTAGAGTGATTGTGATTAATAGTTTAAAACAAATAAACTATAATTAAAATAATAAATAAGAGAATATGGTCGTTTACCTCAATTATTCAAGCTGATGGTTAATATAACCAATATATATTTAAAGTGTTCTACGGCCAGCCTTGTTTAAAAAATAAAAAAAAAATAATTCCATAAATTTTTTTCCGATGTCGTTGACGCACTTTTTATTTTTGTCATAAAAGATGTAGGCGCACTTAACCAATAAAATTATATTTTTTTAACTAATTTCTTTTCAATTGAAAAAAGAAAACTTTTTTTATTAACACTTTTCACTTGTAATTTTTCTAATTGAAAAATATAATTTTATTTCGTTGGTATAATATTTTAACGCGTACAAAAGAGTGTAAAATATAATCCCTATTTTTTTTTTTTTTTTTTTTTTTAATTTTCTTATTTCTAGGATGTCGAAAAAATCCTTTGTTTCGGCTCGTACAAATATCACGCAGGCGTCAAAATTTTTACCACAAATACTATTAATTACAAATAAAAACTTTTTTCGCACAAACACATACAAAAATAAATTAATAATAAAATTTCACTATTTTTTATAATAAAATACTTTTTAAAATAATTAACAAGGATAAATATACAATCTAATATACAGAAATGCCAAAGCCACTAGTGATTCAAATATTCTTAAGTATTAATAAGCAATCACTTTAAAAAAAAAAAAAAAAACCGTAAAATGTTTAATCAAAAATTACTAGATCAGTTTTTTTTTTTTTTTTATTATCCTTAATAATATTGAAACCTAGCAAGTCACGCATAAGGAGTGCACCGTCTCAATCAAAAATGAGGGCAAATGAAGAAACTCGCAATCTGACGACACGACAAAGGTACAATATTCACATTTGTATGAATTTTTTGAAATTAAAAAGAATAATTTTTCACCCGACATTTGAAAGAAAAAAAAAAATTTTAAAGGAAATTATATACATGTGTACGTGTAATTTTAAATAAAAAATGTTCAGTTAACTGTTTATATGGATTGAAGACATTTCGTGAAAAAAAAGTTGATGTATTGTGAAAATTTTTTTTTTCAAGCATAACTGTTGCCAACTAAAATCATCCTTTTTTCAATCTTCAACATTTTATGAACCCAATGCACTAAATTACTTTAACGTAATTTTTATTCCGTTTATTTTGTTTAAAAATTTTGAAACAAAAATTTGAATACTTTTTTAAGTAAATAATTGAAAATTTAAATAAGCAATTCTGTATAACTACTGTTTTTAAGCCCCATTCCCCCATTATTATTTTTTTAATAAATGGTTAAAAAACAAGTTAGTTTCTTTGTTTTTTATAAAAGAAATTTTATAATGACTTAAAAATTTTAAATATAAAAAAAAAATACATAATGTATAAAATAAAATAAAAAAACATTTCTAATAGAAAAGAAGAATGATGGTTTGGGTAAATGAAAATAAATTATATATTTAAAAGTTTGAAGTACAACATATATTTATCATAAGGGTCTAGCTCTTCTTAAAGCTGTCCGAATGTAATATTTTTATGTTGGCAATTAAATAATACAAAAATGAAATAATAGTAATGAAAATGGCGTCGCTCTCACAAGCATCCTGTACTTCTGACCCAAATTTTGCTGTGATTTGTGCATTTTTAGAGAGATTTGCTAAATATTGTGGAATTACTTATCCCTCATTTACTGATCTTCAAGAAATGTTAGAGAATGTTGAGCAAGGTTTGCATAATGCAATAATTAATCACTTAATTTTAGGTCGTCGAACTAAGTTTACCTTGTTTATACTTTGACAAAAATGTTTAATGATGTATTTAATTACAAAATTTGATAATTATTATGAATTTTAAATGTTTTTTAATTTATAGTTTTTATTGAACTTTAGAAAATTTTTGCAAATATTAACTATAGTTACTATTATGGTTAACGCGGAACTAAAAATTTTTTTAATTTATATATTTTTTAGCGTAAATTAATTTTTATTTTCAGTGCCTCAGGAACTTGTGGATTTACACATAAAATTATTAAGGAAAGCTCGTAAAACCGTTTTCATAGAAAAGTGGGAAAAAGCACTGGTCAAATTTTGTAACTCATATTCAAGTCAAGATGGTTGGGAAATAGAAAATTTTGGTTACAAAAAATCTAAGCTTGAAGTTAAGTTAAGAGTTTTGAAAATGCTTTTAGAAGGACAATTTGATTTAAATAGCAAATTTAAAGCTACAATTAACACTTTAGAATCAGATAATCTAAGATCCAAAGCTCTTGGAAGAGACAAACAAGGACGAATTTATTGGCTTCAGTTAGATTTGACATCTAATATTCGAATATATAGAGAAGATGTTGATAATGAAAATTGGTCTCTAATAGCCCAAGACAGAATTTCTTTGGTTAACCTTATACAAGAACTTTCTGGTAATGAACCAAAAGTGAATTCCGATGTAATTTGTAACAAGAGTGACAGTTTATGTGCCGATAATTCATATGTTGACACTGGACAAAGTGATTGTGACATTACTCAAATTAGTAAAATAAATAATGAAAATGTAAATTCCCAGATTGAAAAAAACAAATTGTCCGAGTCTGAAGATGATCCCCTCCAATCTGATTCTACTAAATGCAAAGGAAGTAACTCAGAAGCAGAAGATAAAAGTACTATTGAGACAAATTCTGTTATTCAAAATACTAATGTGAGCATTGAAGAAAGTAGTCAGGGTAAGGAAGAAAATGGTGAAAAATCACCAGAAAAAATGGAATGCAGTGAACAGAAAATGAGTAGCGTGGGAGAAGTTATTGAAGAACCAGTCATGTACATTGCTGGAGATGGATGTGGTGCAGAATGTCAGACTGGTAATCCCACCAAAGATAATGAAAATGAAAAGGAAACTGATAATATAACTACAGAAAACAAAAGTTTTATTGAAAAATCCAAGAAAATTTCAAATGATGTTCCAGAAGGCAGTAAAACTGTCGTAAGTGATGTAGAAAAAACAAAATCAGCTCCAATTTTGTGGAGCATTGAAACAATTTGTGGAGTTAAAAATAGTGGTGGTAGTAGTAGTAGTAGTAGTAGTTGTAGTGGTGGCAATAGTAGTGAAAGTGTAAATGTAAATGATAAGCAAGATAATTTAGAAGAAAAATCTAAACAAAAAACTTATAGTAGTTTTTCTATAGACAGTGTTTTAGAAAAAAAAGATGTAAACAGTAATAATAATCCTTCCACATCTAGTTATGTAATTGATTATTCCACTGGTTCAATTAAGGACTCGCCTCAAAACAGCATTGAAAGTGGTAATAAAGCAAATCAAAACATGCAATGTTTCCCTGAAGGTGTGGAACATATAGTTAAAAATAAACCAACTTCAAATTTATTTCCTACCTCTTGTTCAACAGTTCAAAGTACTCATTACATGGTTCCTAATGTAACATCTCCTAAACTGGAGCATAGTCGTACATTTATTAAAACTGAATTTGAAGAAAAAAATAATTTTATTCAGTGTAACAAATCTGTTTCAAATGAATCAATAATTGCAGAAGAATCAATTGAAATAAAATCAAACAACAATCAAAAAAAAACGGGCAAAGATTTAAATGAACATGAAATAAAAGAAGAAAAAAATGATTTAATAGATAGTACATCAATTCAAACTTGTAAAAACGAGGAAGTTCATGAAATTAAAAATGAAGTGTCCCATTGCAATGACTCACAAAAAATAGAAGAAATGGTAAATATTAAAAAAGATTCAATTGAATCATCAACAAAGGACATGAGCAAAGTAAATTCCGTGGAAGTTTCGGTAAATGAAATTTCCGACTCGAAAACATTAAGTAATAGTGAAATCAAATCCCACGAATATGAAAAAAATCAAAAAACAATATGTGATAAAGAAAAAAATTGTGAAAATGTTGAAAATCAAAAGTTGAACAGTAGTACTTTTGAAGAAAAAGATGTAAAAAGTGACCACGACTTACCGATGGAAAAAGTCGAAAGAAAAGACGTTCTTTCTAATGATTCTGATACTAATTGTAAATCTGAAACTGAAAATTTATCTTTTAGTAAGGAATGCGAAAACAATAAGAACAATACTTCCCATGTTGAAACGTTAGAAGAAACTCCTTCGAACCAAAAAGAGACCGAGAAATTGACAGAAAAACAAAATAATACCACAAAACCTTCTGATACCCATGACAATCTAAAAGAAAATTTTGAAAATTGTAATGATTTTAAAGAAAAATCTGACATTGATATAAAAATTTTAAAAAAAGAGAACGAATTTGAAGAAAATGAGGTTGATAATGAAAAGGCTTTAAATAAAATAAAAGAGAAAGAAAAAAATGAAGAATTTGCAACTTCAAACACTGGTGAATCTGAAGTTTCAATTGAAAATAATACCGTTATTGAAGATTTAACAACAACAACAACAAGTAAAAATACATGTCTTGAAGAAAAAAGTTACCTGGAGGAACAATCCCCTGTAAAAGTGCAATTCGTTAAAGAAGAACAATCAGAAAATATTTCTGAGCACAATAAGGATAACTCCGAACATGAAAATTTAGAAAAAAATCAAACTTATTCAGAGGAGACAAAAATAAAAACTGATGAAACTGATACGGAAAAATTAAAAGAGGAACCTGATACTCATGAAGAATTAAGTAGCATTCCAAAAAATATTGAAAATGAAAAAGAATCTGATAATTCGGTAAATTGTGAAAATGATGAAAGTAATATTAATAATGAAAAAAATACAAAAAAAGAATGCAACGAAGAAGACGTTTCAATAGAGAAAAACGACAGCGATGATGACAATAACTCGAAAGAGGAAGAAAATACAGAAACAAATGAAAATACCATCGGCAGTCAAAGCAATGATGTCGATGTTGAAAAACAAAAACAAACTTCAACACGAAAAGGTTTGTAAAATAAAATATTCTTTTTTTTTTTTTTTTTTATTGTAATAATTTTTACGATTTTTTAAATTTATTATAAATTAGGTAAAAAATTATGGAGAAAGCGGCGAAAACGTAAAAGTAAATGTAATGCAAATGACAAAGTAAAAAGTAAAACAGATGAGGATACAAATGAAGATTCTGAAAAAAATTCAATGAAAAAAAAAGGAAGACCAAAAAAAAATGAACTTACCACTGGATCTGGAAGTCACAGAATTCCTGGTTTGATTTTTTTTTTTTTAAATGAATTGGTTTACTCATGTCTTATTTCTATTAAAAAATATTTAAAAAAATTTTTTCCAGCTCGTGAAATTAAACTTTTGGGCATAACAAATATGGATTTCGAATTTCCTTCCATACGTCAATCTCGAAGAATAGCTCAAATTAAATTGAAAGAAGAAGCAGAAAGAAAAAGAATGGAAGCTCTTCAAATGGAGGCTTTGAAGTCTAAAAAAAAGGATTTTAAAACGAGTAAAAAAAAATCAACTAAATACGAAGATGTTGACAGTAATGATGATGATGATGATGAGGAGGATAAAAACAAGAGTGAGGATTCAGATACACAAAGTTTTAAAGAAATCAAATCTCAAAAATCTAAAAAAAATAAAAAAAAAGATAAACTTGTCTTTGATGAGTTGAATCCATGGTTGAGTAGTTCTGGAAGCTCTTCTGCTGCTGATGAAGAAGAAGAAGATATCGAAGAAGAACAACACGACGATGATGAATTAGTTTTTAAGTCTGGTGAGTAATTTCTACAATTAGCATATTTTGGCTTTTTATGTTTATTAAATTTGTGTTAATCATTTATTATTTAAATTTTTTTAAAAACAAAAATCGTTAAAATTAAAGAAAAAAAGAAAAAAATGATTATTGACAAAATTATTTATAACACATTTATTTTTTAAAATTTAATAGACCATGAATTTTCTCCGGAATCCGACGTTGAAGATCCTGATTATCAACCAATCAAAAGAGCTCGTACTGCAAAAGTTGAGGAATCAAAGGATGAATTTGGAAAATACGATGACACATCGTGCGAAAATTGTGGTAACAACGATCATCCCGAATGGATTCTTTTGTGTGATAAATGTGACAAAGGATGGCACGCTTCTTGTTTGCGACCTACTTTAATGATTATTCCAGAAGGAGACTGGTTTTGTCCACCTTGTGAGCATTCGTTTCTCGTTAATAAATTAGAAGAAAGTTTAGTTCAATATGACAGGTGAATAATTTATTTTATTAAATAAAAATGTAAAGTTGTGCCTTACCCACAAATTGGAAATACTAATTGGTCAATGATTCTCTTTTCAGATGCCAAAAACAAAGAGAAAATGAAGAGTTGAGAAAAAAACGTTTAGCATTTGTTGGAATTAGCTTAGATAATGTCTTACCTCCTAAAGTAGAAAAAAAAGAAAACGAAGATAAAAAATCTGAATCAGGGTCCTGTTCAAGCACCGAATCTGATGCGTCTCCTTCTGAATCAGAATCAGATGAACCCGTTTATAAATTACGTGAAAGACGCTCTAATTTAACCAGTTATAGATATAACGAATATGATGAATTGATAAAATCTGCAATTAAAGACGAAATGGATGCTGTAAGAGAAGCTGGAAATATAAGTAAAGGAAAAGACATAAGTAATATTGTACAAATTGAAGAAAACAAAAAAAATGAAGAGATTTCTCAAGATGTAGAAAGCTCTGCAACTGCATGTGATGTCGATGAACGTAAGTTCTTTTTTTTTGCGTTTCATATTTTAATTATTATAAATAATTGATTTTGATGTAATCATTCTTTAGAACATGTAAATGTTGGCAAAAAAATGGATGAGGTTGAAGAAAAAATTGAGGATAGTGAACCCGAAGAAAATACGAATAATTCGGATGATAATCATTCCGAAATACTCTCGAAAAAAAAAAGTAAAAAAAAATTAAAAAAATCTAATGTTATGAGCCTGGACTTTACGAGTGAGGAAGAAGATCATAATTCGGATTCTGATTTTAAAGGTAATTATTATTATTATTTAAATAAGATAAAAAAAATAAAACCTAATGTAGTTTATGCGTATTTTATACCTTGTAAAAAAAAAAAATTATTATAAAATCATTTTATTATTTAATTGTTGATATTGCTTAGGAGAGAGCAGCGAAGAAGAATCCGAATATAGTTTATCCGTGGATAGCGAATCTTCTGAATATAATAAATCAAGAAAAAGAGATGGACCTTTAAGAAGATCAGCTAGAGCAAGAGTTTCCCGATACGATCGTGATTTTAGTAAGATTTAAAAAAAAAAAAAAAAATTTTTTTTTTTTATACTTTAATTTAATAAATTAATGGGAATATTTTTGTTTACGTCATTTTTTTTTCTTAAATTTTTGTTTTAGTCAATGATGATGATAGTGAAGATTCATCACCCAAACGAAAAAAAACTCGAAGAGAATGGGATAGTACCGAAAGTTCTGATTCAGATAGTTCTTGGGGAAGAAGAAAGCAAAAAAGGAGTCACAATAACAGTATAAATAAATCAAAAAAAAATGAAAAGAAAAAAGATAGTAAAAGGCGAAGATTATATAGTTTAGATTCAGAAAATGAAATAAGTGGAAAAAAATCTCGAAATAAAAAGGTCAATTTTTAATTATCCAAATTGATTTGATTACACCTTTTTAAAATTTAAAATTTTCTTCTACAATTATTATGTATTTAAACTTTTTACTAAATATTCGAACGAAATTCGAATTTTTTAATTATTATTACATTGAATTTTATTTTCAGATTAAATATTCAGAGGTTGATTATTCCGACGAAAAAACTGTTTTCGCCCGAAGAACGAGGGGTAAAAAAATTAATTATCAAGAAATGACTGGTACGGATAGTGATGACGATACAAAATCCAGGAAAACTAAAACATCCAGATTAATCGAATCAGATGATGATTTTATAGCAGAAAATGAAAAACACGAAGGGTCTCAAGAAGAAGAATCAGAAGAAGAAATGGAAAGTGATGTAGAAGATGAAGAAAACATGCGAGAGGATAACAGTGAAAATCAGGACGAAAATCAGGATGAAAATCAGGAACAAAATCAAACGGAAAACGAATATAAAAAAAATATTATAAAAATAATTGAAGAGAAAAATTGGATGATTCCTAATTGGAATGAAAACATTAAAAAAATAATGTTAAATGAAGAACAATTGCATGCGCTTTCGGAAGAATTCGAACAGTTGAAAAACGAAGAAATGAATATATTAAAAAAAATCTTAGAATCGGGTGAAATACCAATTAACGAAATAAATTTAGCTTTGAAAAAAGTCAAAGAAGAGAAATATTCAAATGAAAGTTTTATAAATAAAATGGACATTCGCAAAACTAGCCAAAATGTTCAACCGTTTCTCGCTCCCGATAACGAACGTTTAAAACAGACAATAGAAAAGGACAAATTTCAAGAAAGCGAAAAAGTAATAACCTCTGGTTTCACCGGATTGAGCTCGCAAATATTTGATGCTTCACATAATGAAAAAAATTCATTGCCAACGTCTAAAGAACTTTCTAAAAACACATCGGAAATACATTTAACAGAAAAAAGTCACGATTTTGAAGGAAAATCTGTGGATTTATCAGGAGGAGAGTTATTGTCAAAATCGTATCTTGCAGATGTTAAGCAGCGGGGTTCGAAGAGTAGTTCCGACATATCATTAACCAATTACTTGAATGAACCTAATTTACACTCATCTCAATCATTAGTATCACCTTTTAAAAGTTCAGATCCTCTCTTGCGATCCTCTTTAAAAATTGGAAACGTAAATTTAAATTTAAATTCTCAAAAGGAAATTATCAGCGACAATCCTTCTGTTATAAGAGGAGATTTTCAAAATAAACGGCTTAATTCGGATGCAACTCGTTTTACTGAGCCTACTGCGAATAAATTACCTAATTATTGCCCGCTGATTCCTGCGACAGTAACTGGATTATCAAATATTGATGCTGAAAAAGAATCGAGACAAAAACAACCCTGCGGGATTTCTGATATAAAAGCGAAAAAGAAAATTGATAATTCTTCACAGTTAGAAAAGAATAAATTAGTATCAAAAGATGCTGCACCCTTGTCAGTTCAATCAGAAAATATATTTTCTCAGGCAAAAAGTAATTTAGAATCATCATCATCTTTGAAAAAACAAAGAGGAAGAGGAGGTAAAAAGTATGTTGAGACTGAATCTCGAATTCAAGAGAAAGGTGGAAACATTGTTGCTGGACATGCTTCTAATCAATATCCTTCTCAAAATTTTTTAACTGAAGAAGGAAGTGTTATAAGTAGACTACTAAATAATGTGCAAAGCTCACAAAACTTTTCTGCAAATGAAACTCTACCATTTTCTGCACATAATCATTCATTTTCACATTTTCCTTCTTCCCAATACCTGGCAGCCTTAAAGTTTCGTTTACCCACAGCAGAAGGTAATGTCTTTCATATGTCTCGCTCACATGATCCTTCTCCTTCAGGTGGCGGAGCCATTTCTATTTCCAATCCTGTTAGTGAAACAAAACCTTCTTTGCCTATAAATATTAAAAGTTCAGCATTGCCTGTCATGAATCCTAAATTTATTTCTGAACCTGTACCAAAACCAATTTTATCAGTTGAAACTCCTGCTCCTCAATCAGATCTTCATTTCACTCATTTTTATGAAAACTTTAGCCAAAATAATTTATCAAATGAAAGCTCAAGTTTTCATAATCCATCATTTCCTGATACTGCTGTTGATAGCGTTCAAGCACCCAGTGTGGTTAACTCAAAACAATTTGAAAATGAAACTGGTGGAGAATTTGGAGGTTTAGCTTCTTACTTTGCTAGTCAAAGGGAAGATGATTTAGATTCCTAAATAGTTTACTCATTTTTGAAATTTTATTATTTTATTTTTTACATCACATCTGTATTATTATTATTATTATTATTACTGTAATTTTTTCATCATTAATTATTTTTCAAGATGATATGCAATTTAAGTATTCTCTTTTTTTCTATTGTAAATAATTTTATGAATACTTTAAACAAAGGCTATGTTTTTATTTTATGTACAAAACAACAAAAAATATTTTATTTATTATGAATATTGGTCAGGAAAAATACTCTACAATTTCCAGTATTTTGAAATATATTGTTTTGTCATGTGTGATTGATATATATTAAAATATTAATAGTATTAAATGCTTAATATCAAAATATTTTAATAATATTTAATAATTATATTTTAATAAAATGTAGAATAAAAAAAAAAAAAGTTGCAAGATATTGTACAGTACTTATTAAATTGGAGTTTAATCAAAATTAATAAACTTTCTTATGTTAATATAATACTAAATATATTTATATCATATTTAAATTTTCTGGATTCGATGTTTTTAATTTCATAGTGTGAATAATTTGTTCGTACACAAATCCAAATATATATGTAGTGATTGAAATGAAAAAATGAAAAAAAAAAAAGTGAATTATTAATTAAATAAAAACAATAGATCGAGTTTATCATACGTTAATACGATATTTAATGATAAACTGAATAAAACTACTGTTTTAATTAAGCAGCGTAATTTTTTCAAAGATTTTTCAGCAGTTCAGTTTAAAACAAAATATAGACGATCATCCATATTTATTTTTCATTTTCAAAACTCAGTATTGCCAACATCGAAATTCCAAAGTACGTACTTTTAAGTTTTACAATGGTAATTCCTTTGACTCTAAGGGAATCCACGCTTGAACGAAGTGAATTTCGGGGATTGTATTTATTAATCAAAATTCATCGGCCTCATTTGTAAAAGTAGAGCTATCAATAATGTCGGAAAGTCTACAATTGCGAGGCACCTTAAGAGGGCACAATGGATGGGTTACTCAAATAGCTATTAACCCAAAATATCCAGATATGATTATATCAAGTTCAAGGGGTGAGTTATCGATGCCTAAGTTATATGCCACTTATTTATTTTTATTAACTTTACTGAAGAGTTTTTTATATGAATAACTAAATTAGATAAAACATTAATTATATGGAAGCTAACGAGAGAAGAACATCAGTATGGGTTTCCACAGAAAAGATTGAAGGGACATTCTCATTTCGTGAGTGATGTGGTGTTGTCTACAGATGGGACATACGCACTCTCTGGTTCATGGGACAAAACCTTAAGGTTGTGGGACTTGGCTGCAGGAAGAACAACAAAAAAATTCGAAGACCATACCAAGGTGTGATTCAACCTTAACTTTCCTTCAATTTTTAAAAACTCAAGCTTTTTTTTTTTTCTTTTTTTTTTCTTGATAGAAGAGGTATTTAAAATGCGCAAATCGTGAGTATTAGTTATTAACCATGGTAATACAATGTATTGTCAAATAGACTAATTTAAAAAATGTAACCTTTTTTTTTTTTTTTTTTTTTATTTTAATTGTAAGTTATTCTGTATTTTTAACAGCAAAATTTTACCTGTAAATTTTACTTTTTTTTTTTTTTTTTGTTAAATTAGGACGTGCTAAGTGTTGCATTTTCAGTTGATAATCGACAAATTGTATCTGGAAGCAGGGATAAGACCATCAAACTTTGGAACACTTTAGCAGAATGTAAATACACCATACAGGATGAAGGGCATACAGATTGGGTATCTTGTGTAAGATTTTCTCCTAATCATGCTAATCCAATTATTGTTTCTGCTGGTTGGGATAAAGTAGTCAAGGTAATTAATTAATTAATTTTTAAAACTCTTTACATAAATTATGAGCAATCATAAGTTTTTTTATATTTTTGAAATATTTATCATACAATATTACTTTCAACTAAATTAGTACAAAAAAAAAAAAAAAAATTAAATGAAAAGTAAAAATTTACTTTTTTCATAAATTTTATTTCTAAAACTTTTTTTAACATTTAAAATTTCTATTATTTTTTTATTTATATAAAAAAAAATTAAAAACTGATATTAATATTTAAATGTTAAGTGAAAAAAAAAAAATGAATAATTTTGTGTATTTGCAATTATTGAATCAGTGTTATTTTTTAAACTGGATGTTGTATTATATGATTTAGGTATGGAATTTAGCAAATTGTAAGTTAAAAATGAACAATACTGGACATGCTGAATACCTTAATACTGTCACTGTTTCTCCTGATGGATCCCTTTGTGCTTCTGGTGGAAAGGTATGTTTAAATTTAAAACAAATTTTTTTTTTTTTTTTTTTTTTTTTTTTTGGATTGTTGCTTTTAATGATGAGACAATCAATCTGCATTAAAAAATGATGATAATATTTTTTGTGGATATGGGTCTGATAAAAAAGCATTGAATTTAAAAAAGAAAAATTAAAAAATTAGCTTTTTATTTCTATTGTTTTTTACTTTCTAATATTTATATTTTCATTGTCAGGATTGCAAAGCCATGTTGTGGGATTTAAATGATGGTAAACACTTGGACACATTAGATCATAATGACATAATTAATGCATTGTGCTTCAGTCCGAATAGATATTGGCTTTGCACTGCTTTTGGTCCTTCAATAAAAATTTGGGACTTGGAAAGCAAGAAAATGGTTGAAGAACTTCGTCCGGAAGTTGTGTCACAGACTTCTAAAGCCGAACCTCCCCAATGCTTATCTTTGACGTGGTCCATTGATGGCCAAACATTGTTTGCAGGTTATTCTGACAATACAATTAGGGTTTGGCAAGTATCTGTATCTGCCAGATAAAAAATAAATTGTTAAAACTAAATATATTACAATATGAAAAAAAAAAAAAAAAAATCTGTTTTTTATTTATTAAAGTACAAACATATTTTTAAAAATGTCCGGTGTTATTTTTTATTTTAAAGGCTGTGAAACAGTTGAATGACAAACTTTGTGTACAGACGCAATTGTAGTTTTAATTTTATTACTATTTAATTAAATAATTTGAAAAGTTTCAAAAATAAATTAATAAAAGAGAATCCGACTTTTTAATTAATTATGGCAAAAGCGAAATTTAGCACTACCAATGTAAAGACTTCTAACACCACATCAAATCCCCATCACATTACTAGTATATTCGTAAGTTTTTTGATGATATATACGCCAAATTATTTTTCTTAAGACTAGTCATCCTGTAAGCCTTTAAATAATATTTCGATAATGAGATTCAAAGTTAAGACAGAGTAGAAGCTGAATGTTGCTACCTGTAATTTTTTTTGAATTCAAGTTGTTATTATTTTAGTATTTTAATCACATGAGAAAAAATTTCCTGTTGCGTACATTTATTCTCTTCTTTTCACTTATTTAAGAAGTATTTTTTCTCAGGTTTTTTTTTTTTTTTTTAAACTTATGCACTTAAAATTAAATCATTGACTGCTACGTTTTGTGCACTCGGATTTTCATAACTTACTAAGTAAATGGTTAGCCCATGCTAAACGTTTTGAAAACTGTTTCAAAAATTTATTTAAAATATATATTTAATTTAAGCAAATGATTCTTATAAAATTTTTAACGTCAAATGAATCGTTCAATTAACTCGTTAAAATGTATTAAATAAATATAAAAAACTTTTTAAATTTAGTCGGGTAAATTTTAGCGTTACGTGTAATGTTGGCAATTTTAAAATGACGTCATATTCCTAGAGGATTCAGTCGGCCATTTTGAATGTGGAGTGTTTCTTTGAAGAATTTTAAAAATAATATATGTTTTAGAAAATTTATTTAAATAACTTTTAATTTTACCTTTATTAGCTTCATAACATGGAGGAAAAAACTTCTCTTAAAGAATTAGATCAATGGATAGAGCAATTGAATGAATGTAAACAACTAACTGAAAGTCAAGTGAAAACTCTCTGCGATAAGGTAATTCATAATGTCATGAAACCGATTTTTATAAGAAAAATTTTTAGTTAATTAATTCGTAAAAATTAAGATGAGGTAAAAATATTTTTAAAAATACCTAGCATTTTATTTTTTTATTAAATAATCAACATAAAAGTCTATTTTAGTGAATTTAGTCTGATTATTATTTAATTATAAAATTTATATCAGATAATTAATTAATTAATTTTTTTAATATAAATTACAGTTATGAAAAAAGCACTGCACAAAAAAATTTAATTTTTTCTAATTAAAATTTTTTTATGCATTTTTATATCGAAATAATTATAATAAAGATAAAGAATTGTATTCTGTTTTGTAATATTTTTATTATAATAATTAAAAGCATTTTAGTTATACAATTGATGTTTTTTCTTTAATATAAACTGAAATATTTTATAATTTTTTTTAGGCGAAAGAAATATTAGCTAAGGAATCAAATGTTCAAGAAGTGAAATGTCCTGTTACAGTATGTGGAGATGTTCACGGTCAGTTTCATGATTTAATGGAATTGTTCAGAATAGGAGGAAAGTCACCTGATACCAATTACTTATTTATGGGAGATTATGTTGATCGTGGTTATTATTCAGTTGAAACAGTTACTTTATTAGTTGCATTAAAGGTAAAACATATATATATATATAATATTATATTTATTCATTTATTTATTTTAAAAACACATTACGGTGACTTATTCTTCGATAATTTAAAAAAATTATTTTTCTTTTTTTTTTTATTTTACAAAATACTTTAAGCGAAAGAACCTTGAAACTTAAATATAGGATGATTGAACTAATTGAATTACTGAAGCCAGCCTTTAAAATTGCATATTAAAAAGCTTTTATTAGGTTAAATTTCTTGTTATTTTGCTCAAAATTTAATTATTTTTTCTATTTGCCAAAATTTAGCAGCTAACCAGACTTTTGTAAAATACATAAAATCTATAGTAGGTAATAAAATTTTACATGTGATAAAAATACTGACTCAGAAGAGTAAAAAAATATTTGTATTTTAAGTATGCTAATGTTAATTAATAAGTGAGAGATTATCATTATAATTAAATGTTGATTGACTAAATATATCAATTCTGCACTATTGATATGTGGATATGTACTTCTACCAGTTTTATAAATCTTTTTGTTAAAAAATTTTTTTTTTTTTTTTTTCTGTGATGTTCATTTTTTAAAAAAAAGAATTGTAAATAATTTTGTGTACTATAATAGGTGCGCTACCGTGAAAGAATTACTATTTTGCGTGGAAACCATGAATCTCGACAGATAACACAAGTTTATGGTTTTTATGATGAATGCTTGCGAAAATATGGAAACGCCAACGTATGGAAGTTCTTTACAGACCTTTTCGATTACCTTCCTCTTACTGCATTAGTGGATGGCCAGATCTTTTGCCTTCACGGCGGTTTATCTCCGTCCATTGATACTTTAGATCATATAAGAGCTCTAGATCGTTTGCAAGAGGTTCCTCACGAGGGTCCAATGTGTGACCTTCTCTGGTCTGATCCTGATGATAGAGGAGGCTGGGGAATTTCTCCTCGTGGCGCTGGTTATACTTTTGGACAGGACATATCGGAAACGTTTAATCACTCTAACGGACTGACTCTCGTATCTAGAGCTCATCAATTGGTTATGGAAGGCTACAATTGGTAATATTATTAAAATTAATCATTTAAAAAATTTTTAATTGTATTACTACGCGTTTCTTCATTTTAGATTTTTAATTTACGTATTATTTACTATTGCGATCATCTTAGATTTGATTTGAACGTTAAATTTTACTTTCGTTACACACAAAAACATTTTTTTTTTTTTTCATTGAATTGAGTAATTTTCTAAGTGTTTAAAAATATATATATATTGTTACAGGTGCCATGATCGGAACGTAGTTACTATTTTTTCTGCTCCGAATTATTGCTATCGTTGTGGAAACCAAGCAGCTATAATGGAATTGGATGATGCATTAAAATATTCATTGTATGATCTTATACTTAAATTATTATTTTTTTTTTTAAGGGTAAAAAAGTAAAATTAAAATTTAATTTTTCAGCCTGCAATTTGATCCTGCGCCACGACGTGGAGAACCACACGTGACAAGAAGAACACCCGATTATTTCTTGTAAAATGAATTATTATTAATAATAAATGTTTGCGGTTTCCGAATGAATGAGGGCCCATTGAAAAAAAATACATTTTATAAAGCGCACGCGTATTGCTTGCTGCCAATGGAAACTTAATTAGTTTTTATCTAAAATATTGTCTCCTAATTAATATTATAAATAAATTTTTGAACATTTTATTTCCGTGGTGGTATTATTATTGATTATTAATATTATTATTTATTAATTTTTAGTTTCTCTCTTTTTATAGTGTAAAAAAAAAAAATTAAATTTATTGTAATCATAAAAAACTCGACCAATATTCATACCAAAAAAATATTTATTATACTTTATTGCAAAAAAAAAAAAAAAAATTTTACCTTTCCAAGCATGTTTTTTGTTTTTTGTTTTTTTTTTTTTTATTTCAAATGCAGTAATATATTTCATTTTGTTCTTTAATTATCTTAAAAAAGAAAAGAAATAAAAGTATAATAATTAGAATAATAATATGCTTTTTTTTTTGAATCTAAGTAATTCACAAAAAGATGAATGGAAAATAATAATTTAAATATTTTGTACCTAAAATTATCATTTAAAATTTTTACGAATGACATTTAATAAAAAAAAAAAAAACTGATTTTCTACATAATCTACGTATAATTGTAGAAATAATTTTGAAATTATAGATTAATTAGTATGTAATATTATAAACATTTATTGCCCTCGATTTAAAAAAACAAAATGATTATTATTACTACTACTTTATTTAAAAGAAAAATAATAATATTTCTTCTATACGTAACAACAACAATCTAGACATTTTAATTTCATGTTAATCATTTAAATTAATAAAAAAAATAAATTTATTTTTCATTTTAAATAAGTTTAAAAGAGGTTCATTAAATTACAATCAGATTTTTTTTTTTTTATTTCTTTGCTTTGATAAAAATAATGTAATTTTTTATTTGTAAAAAATAATAGTAATAATTGTTTAAAATTGAGAAAAACGCTTATTTAAATGATTGGTCAAATAAAAAAAAAAAAAAAACATATTCATGCTTCATTTAATTTTAATTAAAATTGGTGTATATATAATTTTTATTCAAAAATAAATTTAAAGAAATTAAATTATAATCA